AATATTTGTAAATGAGTAGTTTCTTGTTGTGGACCTCACCGTCTACTGTTGAGAACAGAAGAATAAAGAGGATTTGAATAATTAAGCTTCCTTCAAAGTTAAGAAACAAAATGACTCAGAAGACTTTTTGTTTCCAATTGCTGTTTTTGTAGTCAAATTGAACAATGTAACATTCAGATCTGAAGATTTTAAATGCAAATTCATGGCTACTTCATACAGTCAAAATGAAAATTCTCAAGTGGTTTTCTCCTTTCACCTCTCCTGAGATTCCTAATTGCCAGTTCTTCCCAAAAGCAGGCTAGAATTTCCCACAAATTACAGACATGCTAGAAATGTGTATATTATTGAGTTTGAGAAAGTCGACACAAAGAGTTTCTTGGTTTTAACAATGAGTGTGATTGGCCTTTCTTCTTTAATTAGCATAATTCTGTAAGTCCATGAGCTAGTTGCCAAATTGCTTGATATGAAATACCAATAATGAGGCAGTACTTCTTTAAGTTACAGTGTCTGTAAGAAATACAATCTTTTACATATGTTATTTTGTGACTGTTACCAGGAATTCCCATATGGAATAAAACTCATTATTTTATGTACTGTCAACATTTGATTATTCAGGAATATGACAGAGGACTGAGAAATGAGTCAGATAGAGCAAAAGATACGTAAATCAGGCTGCATGACATTCTGGGAGTGCATACTCCTGAGAATGAATTTGCAATTAGATGACTATAAAAAGTAGGCAAAAGCATGAACAATAGAAAGCAGAACACTACATAATCACAGGTGCTTCACTGCAGCCAAGAAAATGGAAGGATATGCCTGTATAAGCTACATTTTAGATTAACTCACAAATAACCAAAAGTTAGCTGTGTGCAGTTAGTACAGTGTCCTCAACACTGTTAGCAGCAATAGTCATGGAAAAATTTTCAAGTAGTTAAATAATTACAGCTACACCTGTTTTTTCTCATTTTTTGCACAGGTCACATTAAAGATTACAAGCATACAAGAAAATAAAAGATACACACTTTAAGGACACACGTTATGCATTGGATTGGAACCTGGGAGCCGTAAGTCATGCTCTCAAATTTTTCTGCTGATACTGGGCAACTTGTATTTGTTCTTTGTTTTTCCCTAAATATGCTATATGTATATTTTCTATAAAGAATTTAGCCATACAGAAAATATTCATGGCAAAACTGCTCGTTACTTCACAAACAATATAAAATACAACGTGCCCTGATTATCAGCAGAAAATATCTATTTATTAAAGCCGTTAAGTAATTAATAGCTAACACAAATAAATTTCTTTGGCAGTTAATTGCCCTTTTTTTGTTGTTGTTTTCAAACTAAAACAAAAGTGCCAGTATTAGAGATACATGGGTTAGAATTCAGTGACACGCATCTCATGTATATTATTTTAAGGGCCTTAAAGAGAGATCAAGATGAATAAAAATTCTCTGAACTGCTTGCTGTTCTTTGCAGGTAGCATTGCATCACAAATACAATGCACTAAGAAAATCTCATTTGCAGTGTATATATGGTTTAAATCTAATGATGCACACATATTTCATTTTCACAAAATCATGCCCAAACAATATCTGTAAATTCTTATTTATAAGAAAATGTCATAAGAGAATAGGAACTCACAAACTAGCCAAAACAATATACAAAGTATTCTTTGTATTTACCACCACTAAATTACTTCTATAGTTCTTCATGAATATTTGTTTTTAAGAAATCCCCATTTCCAGTTTGGAAGCAATCAAATGATTCATTTCAGCACTATTCAGGGCAATATAATATCCATGTGTGTTCATTTAGCAACACTGACCCTTTATAGCATTGGTGGTACGCACAGTGATACACAGGGTCAAGTGAGATGCATTACACCAACAATCTACCATTTTAATGCAGCCATTTTCCTTATCATTACACCAATTTGTCCAAACTGTTGGTTTTAAAATCAGTAACAGCACAAGATCAAAGAGTGGTTAATAGCTGTAGGTTTGTGAGAAGCTGAGAGAAAGCATTCTTGTCTCAAAGTCTGTTCAGTGACCCACCTGAGACCATGATCAAGCCGGAAAGAGGAAATAGTGTGGTTGAGTGACCAGAAAGAATTGACTCTTGGCTGATGTTTGCAGGTCAGGCTGACTTCTAGAGTTGTTTTAGAGAAAGTGACTACCATGCAGTCAGTATTCATGCCCAACAGCCTGCCAGGTGGCAGACACCTGATTGCTACATGATCACTGCAGATCACCCAGTGTGGGGATCATGAGCTGCTGTCCCAAGCAACTGGAGGCGCACAAGAGCAGAACAAAGAGGATAAAAACGTGAAGAGTTCAGAAGTAGAATGGGTACCCTCTCCAAGAAACTTGCAGACATACAGGTCAACAAAATGTTGCTGACTGACCTGCAGCCCACTACAGACCAGTACGGCACCACTGGACCCATGATGGTGACCCACTCACTAGAATTTCTCTCTTTACCATTTCTAATCTCCCCACCTTCCCATCATTCCTTAACTGCTTAGAATTTGTAATAAACCAATTGGACAACATTTGGCCCTGCTTTTGTCTTAATCTTGATCTGGTATATATATATATATGTATATATACATCTCGAACCATCTCCAATAACTGGAATGAGACAAAGTTAGATAATTCAAGAAGCACAGAAATGTTGAAGTAAAAAAATCAGCTCTTTTCTATGGTAGCCAGCATGTCAATTCAGTTGCAACCAGGGGAAAAAAAATATGAACTCCACTGAAGGCATAGAGAAGACCAAAGATTCTCTGCTTTCATTTGACATGGCAGGTCCAGCTGTATACACCACACATCCACATCCAGTCTTGTTATTTGGAAGAAGCTTCTGTTCTGCTGACCACTATCTAGTACTCTATCTTAACAGTTAAAAATGAACACAAATTTGCTTCAACATTAACAGCACTCCAAATATACTAAAAGAAACAAATGGGAGTCATTCTGTTTCTGAAGAAAAATTATTTCATAAAGTATGAATGAGTGCTATATTACCACACATATCCTGACAAAAATTTAACAATGCTAATTCAAAACACGCTTGGAATAAGATCCAGAGAATTTCTAGTGCATTCATTACATTCTGACAATTTAACATTTTCAGACCTTTTAATGGTAACATTGCTAGAAGTGCACCATCTACAGCAAATAAAATTATTTTGAAAACACTAACTGGTGGTATCTTGTATGTCTTGGTCAGGCAAAACATGCAAGTACTTTCTTACACCAAAATATAAAGGAGTTTGCCTTAGCTTTCTAAAGATACATGAAAAAAACAGGGGAAATCATACCATGGCTATCTTCAGGTTTGCCAGGTAGAAAATGACTGTTTTTGAGGATACCCAGACTAAAAACATTCTTTTTCATTTTGGCCTAGATACTGCATATACAATGTTTAATTTTTGTCATTAAAACAGATGACATATAGAAGTTTACTGGCTAAAAGTAGACATAAAGAATATAATTTAAAGTTGAGGTCTGTATTCAGTAAGATGTGGTGATAAAGTAGTAGGCATGGCACACTGTCACCATCAATCACTGACTATATTAGGTGGCACTCTCCTTCAGACAGGCATAAGGAGATACACTCGTAAAAAGAGATTAGAATAAGCTGTGCCAGTAGCTACAGGGAGAAAAGAAAGTAGGAGATAATTAAAGGACGTGCAATGGTGGTAATTACTAAAATGAGAATGTTTGACTGAAGACAAAACTGTCTTTTCTCCTTTATATTAACCATTCCACAAGGACTGCATATGCTATTTTCCTTCTTCAGAACACTTTTATCTGTATCTTCACCATAGAATATGTCATGACCAACTCTGCCTTTTTAATTTGATTTCTAAAGCAGCATTTAATATACCTTTGCTATCACAACTACACTATTAGGTAAGTGGAAATACAGTACCTGATGACTTTCTACACATCATGTATATGAAAAGAGGGACATTTTTCTCAGCTTCACAATTTGGAATGTTGAAGTCATTCATTATAGGTGAAATAATACTCTTGAATTTATAGGAAATTAATGCTAGTTAGCAATTGGTAGGTACAAACAAACGCTGGAACAGGAAGGACAGGGGATGACTTTTCACCCTTTAAAAGTGCAGAACATCCCTCTGATAAAACTGCTGACTGGTTGTTATATGATGAATATAATGTTAATCATTTTCAACAGAGTTTGCAGAACTAAGTCACCAAGTGTCTTCTGGTTATTTTCGACAGTTATGATTGCCACTGCAGAGAAAAGCATTTCTACTTTATAGCATTCTTTACTTAACTGTAGACAACAACAACAGCAAAGTTTCTCCACTACTGCAGTGAGATATTTTTATCTCATCTAATATATAGTGAATAAATGTTGAAATTCTCAAAGTGCTTTTAAGTACTACAGTTTTGATTAGCAGCAAAGCATGTATTTAATTTAGTCTGCTAATAATTGAATGTATATATAAAATGTGTCTATACAAAATATGCCTGACTGTCATATAATAAACACAGTTTCAAACAGCAATAAAAACAATATTTTTAAAAATAACAGAACATTCAGGTGCTACACCAGCTGCTATTTACATGTCATACTGGCATTAGAATTTGCCTCTATCCAATTGTAAGCAGAAAAGAATTCTAAATATTAAAATCACACTGATGATGTTTAATCTGTTCTTAATTCTCATGCAGGGAGTCTACATATATTTTCTGTCTGGTGATATTAGAAAGCTTTTTTTCTTTCCATAGAAGACATAATGGACATGAATAAGGCTACAGGCTTTGAACTAGTATTCCAGAAACTATGCAAGAACTATTTTTAAAAAGTATGTAAAAATAGGAGATATGTACTTCTGGGATTTGTGCTTTTCTCCTAATGTATAAACCTGGAAGCATTTTTCCCAGTGTTCTTTGTAAAGTGCATATGCTGTAAACAAAGCTAAAGTTGCAAGTATAATCCTGAAAAATCATGAGGTTTCTTGAAGACTTTCAACATTGAAATCTCTTCAGGTTGATGTTTGATGAGCAAAACTCTGCTCTTCGGAAATCAGAAGCATCAGCTGAAATACAGGCAGTTTGTCTTCACTGGAAACAGTTCTGAACCTTTTGATCAGAATTATGAGTTCTCTTCTTTTGCTGGATAGTTCTTTATTGGATAGTAAAAATACCTGGGGGAAAAAAATATTGGTAGTTAGTATGTGTGGGAAAAATTCCTTGCTATTCAGTCACCTGGCCTGGGATCAACCTTTGCCCTGTCAGCAGAAAGCTATCATGCTGTGACTATAATGCACAAGCCAGGAAATCTCAGAAGTCTTCCAAATCAATGTTTTAATTCAGAGTTTAGAACAGAATTTGTTGCAGAAATCTGGACAAAATTTTATCACTTATACTATACACAGGGAATTGGTTTGCCTAATGATACTTCTGACTCAAAATTTATGGATTTGTCTGTACTGCACACAAATAGAATTGAAGTAGCATGCTGCAGTGGTCTCCCACAGCTAATCAATGAGGCCTGAGTACAACATACTGCACTTGTGGGCCAACTTTAACTTATTCTGCTGATGTAACGTCTCCATTTGAGCTTGCCTTCCTTCCTACATGTTTCTTTTCTAGGCCTATGATTCCAACCACCTTTCTTTGCTGCAAACCATTCTCTTCACCTGGTCAGTACCAGTCACTGATTTTTCCTTCCACATAGCAGTATCTCTTCCAGGATTCCTACATTTTGTCTCCTGCTTTTCTTGACTCTGTACTGGATTTATCTGCTTCTCATTTTCCAGTCTTTACCTCAGCAGTTTCTACTTCTCATTTCTTTGCTCAGATATTACCTAATGATCAGGTTGACTCTCTGTTCTGATGTCTTGGCTCAATCTTATAGCATTTCTGTGATCAGTCAAAACTAGTGTTCAGCATGTACATACTGTGATTTTTTTCTCAAAATTACACTTGGTTACACTGGCTCAAATGTCTAAGAGAATGGGAAATGTCAGGTGAAATCCTGACAAAAGAGGTACGTTCATGGCCAAACTCAAAATCGTTGCTCTAATTCACAGCTTAATAAAGAAAATGACACTGGATTATTTTTATTATTTTTATCAAAAGCAAGAAGTGTGGGGCAAAGCTTCATATTTTTAATGCCTTCATCCAGTGCTTTAAAGCTCAAGTCTTTCAGTTCCTTCAGTAGTACAGATATCTATAGATATAAAACTCCATGGAAACATGGAAAACTCAGGAGATCACAGTGTTTTTACAGGTAGAAAATTCCAGAAAGACAAACAGCCTTTTCCATAATTTTCAGATGATTAGTCTTAAGTAGAAGGTTTGAAATTGAATTTAAAAATGAGCTGACACTTTGCTGAGGTCTCAGAATTATCTTAAGGATTATCATGAAGATCTGACTCCCACTTATCTGTAAGTGGAAATTCTACTAGCAAAAAAGGCAGTCTTCAAGGGCAAGTGACACAACTACAGTGTTTAGTGGAACATTGTAACAGCTACTAACCCTACTGACATACCAGAACAGCTTTCGTTGTATACTACACTGCTGTATCAAAACAACGATTTGTGTAACAGTCTTCCCCCACCAAAGATATCTTGATGCTGTTAAAAAGGTTTTATCTTTGTATGAATGTGATTTTTAAACACTGAGATCAGTCAAGCCTTCTGTCAGTCAGAAAGCTTTCAGATCATCCCACACTTAAGAATACAAGCCAGTCGCTAAAACTCCTTTCATTTGCATCTTGCTGCAACATGGAAAAGTATTCCATTCATCTCAGCTAAACTGCCCCAGCTGGACCAAATCATCAAACAAATGGACAAAAAACAAAGAGGGTATGGCTTTGTACCCTGTAAGAGTGCAGAACAGCCCTCTGTATTTAACTACTCACTGGTTGTTATATGATGAATATAATGTTAATCATTTTCAACAGTTTGCAGAACTAAGTCACCAAGTGTCTTCTGGTTATTTTCAACAGTTATGATTGCCACTGCAGAGAAAAGCATTTCTACTTTATAGCATTCTTTACTTAACTGTAGACAACAACAACATTTTCTCCACTACAGCAGTGAGATATTTTTAACAAAAAATATTCAAACAAAACAAAGGATAATTCCCCTTCACTTCTACTCAAAGCGTGTAGTTTATAAGAGTTCTAGCACAAGAATGACTCCAGATTACAATGAGTTTTCTGAGTCTCTGTGAGTAACTGCCTTTTTATTTGATGTTACTGAGCAGGATTTATCTATGCTCTATACAAGAATTCCGCCAAGCAGATATCTCACGGACAAAAATAAATAAGTCCCAAGGTAAATCTTTTTCCTTAAGCTATAGAAAGCTTCACTGCAGAAGCAAGAGCAAGCCCTTATTAAGTCTGTGATGACAGATGCTTCTAACAATAAGCTCATATATGTATGTCTGAGAGCTCAGAGCATATGATCTCTGCAAGAGATCAGAGCCATCTGCCTAGCGTTGAAAACAGTCATTCCCACAGTCCAAAGGCTGACAGGTAGCTTCATAAACTTTTTCTACACAGGATGGACTTCAGATATTTTCACTGTTTGGAGACCACTTGATTTGTGAATTCATCACTGAACTGTATCAATGAGCCAATACATAACAGCAACCCAAAATTCTATAATAGCTGAGACTCAACTCCTTTGCTTTTTCAATGAAAGGACTAAAATGCCCCTTCTTACCTGCCTTATTACTAAAGAGAATTTTCAACATATTGAGTGAAGTGAGATGTTCTGTATCAATGACAGTGATATCATAGGATCTATTTTGATACCATAGGATCTACTATTTTGGTACTTACACCAGATGGATACCTGGCTCACTTCTCTGTTCCACCCAGCACAATCTCATAAATTACAACCAGGTTCTAAATGTAAGTTATTTATACACAGAAGACCTGGTACTATCCAACTCCAGTAGTCTTGATGCTGACTAACTACTAGAACCATAAATACTTTCTGTTACAGCTCCCATGGTTCTGGTTCACCAAAAAATGGTCTGAAATAAAGATCTTGGGCTGACTTACTATCCAGGTGGGTAACTGTCTTTTATTTTGATATTATCAGAAGAATGAAAATCTTCCCGTGTCATTAGGAATTGCCCATTCTTGAAGCAATAGAAACATTTGTGAAATTCTTTAAAGATCCAGTTAGCAGTAACTATTTCAGATTCGCCATCTGATTTTGACATGTGCAACTGCTAATATCCTAGCATTTAAGGTATATATTTTTTTCACTTTATGAGTCAATATGTCTTTAAAGCTTCACTGACCATTATCATTGGCATTTCTCTTGTATCTTCTCTTTTGAGTCTAGTCAATACTGATTCAGCTGTAATTAGTCAATAAAATTAATTTCTCTAGCAATGAGAAGTTTATGTCTAGCAAATGCAGTGTGACTACTGCCATGTGCAATGATGAACTCCATCCAGTAAGTGTCTTTAATTCATCGCTTGCCCACATATTTTGTTGTCATTGGAACACTCTCTATTCACCAGTGTGACAAGAATTAATTACCGCCTTATCCTAAGAGTTGGATGGAATTATGATTCCATGTTTTCACGCTGCGTCCTTTCCTAATTTTTGTAGAATCTGTGATTTGGTAAAGGTAGGCCAATACTGCCTCTTAGTGGAAGGATAGCTCGCTTAAAAGATGTAGCCTTTGGGAACGGCTGCATACTTACAGTGCCAGGCAGACCTACAAGGGGTTACATCAAGGACTTGTACAGATATAGATGTTTAAAATAAAATAAAATAAAATAAAACAAAATAAAAATGACCACTGAGCTTTTGCTTTTTTACCACACTGGAGAGAAGTGCAAGCCAACAGATTGCTGGTACAACTCTAAGAAACATTACTGGTAAAACAATCTTACGTTTGGTTTATGAGACATAGTAAGTAAGAATCAACGTGGACAATCATTCAGAAGAAGAAAACAACAGAAAATGTAAGGCAACATTAACTGAAAGTGGAATAAAATGTAGCAGAAGATGTTAAGTCTCCCAGATATCACAAAATAAAAAAAATCACTTTAGATTTCAGGTGTGCTGGAGCTATATACTTTCATCTACTGGCTAGTTTGGTCTGTTCTAGAACATTAAAAAATATTGACTAAGCTAAATACTAATTTGAATTCTCTAATAATGATGAGCCGCAATTAAACAGATATATTAATGTTGAAGAATAAATAGAAGACAGTGAGAATTTGTAGCTAGTAAAAGAGCCAGTAATGCATTTTTATTTTCAGCCTATGAACACCTATGAACCATAGCTGCAATACAAATGAAGATGCTTCAAACAAGCAAAATTCAGAATTCCTGAGTTACATTATCCTTCAGTGAGGAATACCTTGAGCTATTCTTTGAGTAGTTAAAAATGTATAGCAATGATTAGAAGGAGATTTGACAGCGTTCTTCTTTATGAAATAGCTCTAAGTACATGAATGGTTATTTTTCTAATTCTAAAACCTCAATAACAATGCCAAAGATTGCACTGAACAAAGGCATGAAATTTTAACTGACAACATATTAATGCATGCACCTAATTATGGAAGCATTTTTCTTCTACTCTTATTTGTTTTGCAGCTGTTTTTGTCTTACAAAATTAATGCTGAAACATTTTTCTCGTAAGTAGACTTCCTATATCATATGAGCTATATCACTCAGTTGAACCCAACCACTGTCTCAGACCACTGCTATTTTTATTTTTTTATTTGTAACAAATCTTTTTTCATATAATTGAGTTACTGCTTGGATTAAGTTATTAATTGCAATTGATTAAAAATAGATTTCCCCATCAATTTGGGTATTACATGTCTACTCTAATGTGCTGAAACATGCTGAAAGTTTGAAACTAGTATTCCTTTTCATAGTCACAAAAGAACTTGCAAACAAGAAGTAGCCTACTCCAGGTGCAGTATAATATTAAATCAAGATAGAAAATAAGAAAGAATGGCACAAAGGGTGTGAATAGAATAATTTTGAAACGCAACCTTTTTTATGCATGTTTATGGAATTTCTGTACAAGAAACATCATTGGAGTGCTGAGTAATTTTAGGACATTACTGATAAATGGGCACAAGTTGATTATTCAAGATAAAGCTGATGGTCATTATCCTCAGCTGGTCATTAATTCCCATGAAATGACTGGTATTGACATAGTAATTACTATTATAATGAAACTGGGGAGAAAAAAAAAAAAAGCATGACATTTTTCTTATGAACCTGCCTCATTTTCTAAAGAATTAATGTTTTTTTCATCACTCAATCAAGTTGCCTGAATCATTTTTAACTCTTTATACAGTTTATTAATCTTACTACAGTCTTCATGTCACTGACCCCAGGTGAAATTTCGTATTCCATCATATACTCCGTGAATTCTGGGATCAGAGCAAGGGGCAACAATGGTGGGAAAGAAATATTATACATCTCCCCCTAGAATTAGTCAGAATGTCATAAAGCCATTTATTCTAAATCTTATAGTAAAATCTAAAAGCATGTTGATACACAGCAGCTGTAGAAGTTTTTGTTCCAAAGTAGAATTCTTGTAGATTTGAAACACTAACACTGTCAAATTAAATTGCCCAGCAATCATGACAGAAATTGGTCCTAAAAAGAGGAAACAAGCCTTAAAAATTTTACAAATGAAGTCAGTGGTGTTCTGAAGTGTCTTCTGTGGAATCTTGAGCCTTATCATAGAATCACAGAATGATTTGGGTTGCAAAGGCCTTGAAGATCATCTAGTCCAGTCTTCTTGCCAGCAGACCAACAAGCCAAAAGCCCCATCCAACCTGGCCTTGAACCAGGGATGGGGCACCTATGGCATCTCTGGGCAACCTGCTCCAGTGCCTTCCACTCTCAAAGTGAAAAATTTCTTCATTATTTCTAATCTATATCTACTCTCTTCCAGTTTAAAATCATTACCACCATTACCACTTGTCTTATTACTACATGCCTTTGTAAAAAGTCAGTCTCCAGCTTTCTTGTAGGTCCCCTTTAAGTACTGGAAAGTCACCACACCTCCCCAGAGATGTTATAGGATAAATTTTGTCTTGCTGGATTCTCTTTGGAGAATTTGAGGCAAATCCTGATGACACACAACAGCTTGCCAAATAAATCTTTCAGCACTCAGTCTCAGCTATTGAGACTAGATTGCTTGGTTACTTGGACAGAGTATGAGATGAAAAAAAAGTGCTGAAAGCTCTTAATGGCATGGAGTGAAGCATATTTTAGAATACATGATAAATCTTCTGGAAAAAAAGATAGATATTCTTGACAGCCAAAGCAAAGCATGGTGTGCCAAATTTCTGAAAGAGAGGGAAAAATACTAATTTATTTGGGAGCAGGACATTAAATGAAAGAAGACTGAAATAACAGTGACAGGGGAACTAAATGTTATTATGCATCACAGCAGATAATAGAATTTGACAGTATAGTGAAAAATCTAGAGTGTATTGTTACTGGTGATAGATCAACAATTGAGTTGCAGTGTAGTTATTGTGTATCTGCCAGCCAAAGCCAGAACACACTAGAGTGACCCATGTGCAGTGGAGGAGGTCAAAGTCTATGCAACTCCATTTACACACAGATATTAACAACTGTAAGCAAGAAAAAAAAAAAAAGAAGAAAAAAAAAAGATCAAATTAGACAATACTTCTAAATTTCTAAATAACTTTCATTTCATTGCTTTCTGTTAATCCAAAATCAGTTTGGGCTTTGCTACAGGTTTTGTGAACAAAGTACAAATCAGCACTGAGTGGATAGCATGTTATCAGTACTGCTGAAGAAGTTGCATGACTTGGGGAAAGACAATGTGAAGAAGGATGCTAAGCATACACCAGACTTCTTCCCCAGCCAGTGTGTATGTGTGGAAATATATTTCCTGCTCTTTTTCCCTTGTAGGATAAACATCACATAAGGAAAAGAACCTACACTACGCTGCTAACCTGAGTGGCAATAAAGAATGTTCTCATATGTTTCCTCTAAAACAAAACTTCAAAAAATGCACAAATATGTCTTACGATTCTAAAGAACAGCTACTCTGTGGAGAATTGCAACATAGCAAAAAAATAAGCAGTCCTGAATAAATTCTGTCACCAGAAAAAAAAAAAACAATGTTAATTACCATGTTGCTGTTACTTTCATGTGGCACTCCTGTATTACAGGTGGAAAGTACTAGAATGTTTTCCTGTAAACTTTAACTGTCCTTTACCTTTCCATTAATAGGTATCTTATTTTTATAGAAGTTTGTGTAAATACTCATGTCCATATTCAGTACACACCTGCTTCTGTTACAGCAAATTGCAATAATATCCTTTCTGCCAGCCTGTAACTTAAATGCCTGTTCAACACATTTCTACATTTACATTAAGTCCTGCTGGATCTCAATGTTAAAAGTGACCTGCTTTTCCATCATTTTTTCATTGATCATATAATATTCAATATTTTTTCTAATGCCCCAAATATTGGAAGCATCTGATTGGAACAAAAATGTTCAATATCTGAGAACATTAAGAAACAAATTCATTACACATCATGGTTGCAAAAGTGATTTTGCAATGCAAGTGTACTCTGGGAGTTTAAAGACCAAATTATTATTTTATTTAGGGAGTTCTGAATCACGATTTTGCAGTACTTACAGCTGCAGCTGCAAGACATTTGTAAGCTGGAATTCCAATATAGTGAGTAGGCTATAGAAATACTTAGAGTAACATCTGAAACTTCTTAAGCTGGAGTCTATAAATAGTTTCACATTGAAAAAAAATAGCAGAGGTAACAAAGAACTGAAAAATATCACTGAAGCATCAGGACCTACAGATTCTTGAAATACCTTTGGATCTGGGGTAATTTTTTAATTATTATTTAAAACAAACTAACAAAAAGACTAACTGCAATACTGTGGGCATGTTCATTACTGAAAACACAAGGAACAGACTTGGTGGAAGCACTGTTTTCTACTAAAGAATGCAGGCTAGCAGGTAAGAGAATAAGAAATGCTTAGCTTATGGACAGCATGGAAATTTTTCAAACACTCTCTATTCTTGTGTTCCTCAAAGGGTTCTTGCAGCAAAGACTTACTATGCCTTGTTTCAAATACCTCAGTTTTTTTCCATCCTCTACACTTCTGCGCTAGCAATCAGTTTTTCTGCTTTCCATGTTTAATAAGCAGGCCAACTTCATCCTTTTAACCCCATAATGTTAGAATATACCCCTACTAAACATACATCTCCTAAAATGAAACTTTTCTTCATCTATGGCTTTAATAGGAAGAATTTGATGAGACTGCTGTCAAGCTTGTAGCACTCTATTGCCTGAGTGAAGAAAACCGATGCAGCTAAAAGAGCTTAGATTAATTACACCTATACCAATTCTTCCTATCTGTGCATCCAAGTATTATTATGATGTATCACACTAAGCTTCAGTTGAAATGACAGTCATTTAAACAGGCAGATGATACATTTATGTGTAACACATCATAATTAAATATTTTTTAATTTGAATATTCAAACTCACCTGTTCGGAGAGAAATTGTAATAACCACTTTCCTCTAGAACCTCCTCAATTAAGGTCTGCAAGTTAAAAGAAATTCATTTCAATAAATTACCTTAATTATAAGCCATAAAATACATTAGTACATACATATAAAGCTTACCTGTAACTGCTCATATGTCATCCCTTCTGCTATTTCAGAAGTGCCAGCAATACCTTAAAGTAAGAGGCAAGTAATGTTATACTCCTGGGGTTTATGTTATTTTATCAGTTTCTTAGCAATTCTTCATAATTTAGAATGACACAGGATGTTTGTTAATTTTGGTTATCAGCAGTTTATTTCACTGACTGTAATGACTCCTTGCAAAAGCAGGAGGGATTCCATGGCATGATGTGGACATTTGAGTCGCAAGATATTTCCACATTATAAAAGAGTCTCAATTGATGAAAAATAGTGATTTCTTTTAACTGTTTAATACAAAAGAACACAGCAACATAACATTCTTTTCCACTTACAGTTTAAAGTGAGAAGGGCACATAGTCAGCAGTAAATTCTGATGAAAGTATTATTTACAGATTAGGAGATTTAAAAATTACCAACATTGAATGTCTCATCAATTTGTATAGTTGTCTCTGGGAAAAAAAACAAACTTTACATTTTAAGTTAATGTTAGGTGTTCATTTCTTATCCAAATGTCACCCTCGACACCTAGTATTATTCTTATTTTTTGCATTAAGCCTAGAAATTACCAGTTTCAAGACAAAGGCCAGCAAAACCAAGGTTTCTCACCATTCTTTCTGGAATTATAGTTTTTAACTTTACTGTGTCCTCTAGTGCATTCATAGCTATATGTTTTTCTGCATTTAGAAGAATGGAAATGGCACAAATGATGAAATGCAGCTGCACATTTCTCTTAGGTTCCTTCAATACATTCTTTGCACTGTTGAGGTATATGACAGAACATGTCTCTGAACTAGAGATTGTGGTTCCTCAACATAGTTGCTTCCAGTTATAGTAGTTTTGACTAAAAATGGAGTTCATAATTTGTCACTGAGTATTTCTAGTCCAAATTACATTTGATTCTATTTATTTTCTAAAATACATGTATACGCTTTACACTGTGTAGATATAGTAATATAGTAATATGGAATCATAGAATTGTTTGAGATGGAAGGGACCCTTAAATGTCATTTAATACAACTCCCCTGCAATGAACAGAGACACCTACAGCTACATCAGGTTGCTCAGGCTGCTCAGAGCCCCATCCAGCCTGACTTTGAATATCTCCAAGCAATGGGGCTTCCACCACCTCTCTGGGCAACCTGTTCCAGTGTCTTACCATCCTTACTGCAAAAAACTTCTTCCTTATGTCCAATCTAAATCTCCCATCTTTAAGTTTGAAACCATTTCCCCTTGTTCTGTCACAACAGATCCTGCTAAAGAGTCTGTCTCCTTCTTTCTCAGAGACCCCCTTTAGATACTAAGAGGCCACTATTGGGTCCTCCCAAAGCCGTCTCTTCTCCAGACTGAACAGCCTCAGCTCTCAGCCTGTCCTCTCAGGGGAGGCATTCCATCCCTAAAATTTCTGAACCATATCTTTTATTAGAAAAATACATGCCACTATAGAGGTTGTGTTTCTTTACCTTTTCTATCTTCTGGAACTAACGTGTTGCAAGAAGATGAGAGAAGTACCATATGCCAATCTGCTGTAAAAAAGTTGGTATCAATCAATTCAGGAGAACCTTGGAGCAGCTGGGGGAAAGGAAAAAGAAATAAAAGATAAAAGCAAAGGACACCTAAAATCTCCACTCTTCCTGAGACTTCTGTAAAACAGTCCAGCTTTCCCTACATAAATCTCTGATTGGCAGTCTGCCTTTTTCTGTTTCCTACACAACCAGAAGTCAAAAAAGATTTCAACACATTTTAGCTTAATGAAACAGTAGTGAACACAAGTACAAATGTTCTACCTTCTTCTCTCCAGAGTCATCCAGTGAACACTGCAAGCTCCCAACCTGCACGTTGCATAAAGCACTGAGTCGCCTCCAAACTGTATTACTGTTATCCAACATAGCTGTAGTAGTGATTATGGTAAAATTCTCAAAATGTGCTTATATATAAATACTTATTTGCTCTTACTGACTCAAAATACGTGCCACTTCCTCACGCTTATCAATTCCCTATCATTCTCTTTTTGCTGTTTTCTATTTTCTTTGAGATAGAAATGCTCAGAATTACATCCAGTATTTCTAACACCTTCAATTTACTACCATTCACTTTATAAATACTTCATTTCTTCCATTTTCCTCAGTTATAAGTACAGTAGTTTTGAAGTTAAAATCTTTACAGCTGAGAGAATTTGTAACATTGAAAATTAGATTAAATGTTATAATAAACATTTCCTTTACATATCATCCTTTTGGGCACCCTTTCCTGGCAACACCCACTCAGTAACGAATTAATAGAAAACATTTTGTTAGACTCAGTGTTAAGGTTAAAACATAAGAATCAATTAATGTAAATGCAGGTTGATTTACAGAACAGCAAACATCCCTGAAACTGATAGCTCAAAGAAGCATCTTTAATTATCTTGGGGTGAGAGTCAGTCCATCCATAGCAAACAGTGACTCAGAAGATTGCACAATCCATTGTGGATAGGTGACAACCAGACCGGGTTAGATGGGCTGTATTATGTCTCATATCTGAAAAGGATGTTAAGCAATTGTCCTTGTCATCAAATTCTCTATACACTAATTAACAACTGATTTGTCATCAATTCAAAAATGAAACAGCTTCCATCTCCCACAAAACACAGAAGCTGAGAATGCGGCTTTTGAAACCTCTCCTGACTGTGTCTTCTTTAGAGATTAAAAAGAACATTTAGAAATTCTGATGTCAGTCATTAGCTCTTTTCCAGCTTTTTCCAGTGCTACTGCAAAACATGAAGGCATGGTTCTTCAGTCACGCGATTCTTGCAAATCTGTAGCATTTTTAAACTGATGGTACTACACTCATGCTGACACGCTATACCACAGTAGGACATTCTATATTTTGGACACAATGGATGATTTATGAGCTTTCTCAAAATTCATAGTTTGAGAGGGAAGTCATGCCAAAATATCAATAATAGTAGCGATCTAATTATAAATGAAGAAGAGCTTACAAAAACTAAAAGCTTACAAAATATGTTTCAGCTTTTGCCATTAAAAAGTTTACTTTTTCTTCCTTTTCCCTTTCTGAACTCTGATGAGATAAATTTTGTTTTGCAGGGCCTATCATTTACAATATGTGTTCTACTGATCAGAGATAAACTTGAAATCATTATGTAGCAACTGCTTACTTAAGAGAGCTCCATGTTTTCCCAATAAAGGATATGCTAAATTTCCTTTGAAAAAATGCAGTTATTACACTCATATTCTTGTGATATTAATATTGATAGCTTAATTCAAATAGAAGAAGAGACAACAAATAGTAATTAGTATACTGCACCTTTTTCATTTCTGATTTCAGATTACAAGGATTGCTCTGCTGACTGAAGAGGGACTTCTTGAATCTCTCAATGACTCTCCTTTTCAAGTTGCACTGCAAAGCTGGAGGAAGCTACATAACACAGAGAAACAGATGTTTTCACCACCCAATTACACTTCCCATAAACTGCTAATCAGCAGTACCATTACTGAGAAAGTAGCTACAGTGCAAGAAGAAACATTAATGCTTAATAGCCTGGTAATAGGCAACAGTACAAAACCTGATTTAAATATATATTAAAATAATTCTCCTTAGATCGTTGATTCTGTTAGGCTTGGCAGATTATACAACTTAGTCCTTCTGGACTCAAAGGTAAGAGCCATTATATTAAGCGTAGTATAATTAATGCCAGATTTGCTTCCTTGATCTTTGAGATTTCAAAATCATTTTTATGCTCCAACAGTAATGCTGGAGCTTCAATAGCTTCAGCTGTTGGTCACTGCAGTCATATTGATAGTCACATCTGTCACCAATCCACTTGATCACCATTCCATGCTATGCGCTAGTCTTTGGAGAAAATCTCCTGTTTCTCCATAGTTTATCTTCAGACAGTGTTTGTAAAACAATAATTTTCTGTCATTTAGTATACACTTTATAATCACTATCACTGATGTAAATTCACATAGTGCAACTACATCGAATTCAGCAAGTTATTTAATTACATAAGAAAGCTTTTGCCCTTGATTCACATTCAAAGCGCTGTCACAGCGTAAATTACAAAGAAAGACTGTTTTGCTTCTGAAACAAACTACTGTTCTTAGATAGTTATAAATTTGGAATGTTACATTGGCCTCACAGGAGCCACTCCTAATTTCCTCTGGCAAACCACGGACTGAGTTTAAATTCTAAAACTTCATCAGACAGCTGGCTGCATACAGTTTTCTGTTGCAGATAAATATTACTGTCTTTTCAGGCCTATATACGAGGGGAAGAACATGATGCAAAAGAAATGGCTGCAAGATTCTCTATAGACTACATACCACTGCAATAAACCATGTGCAGTTAATGTACCATGGCAATGCTGGGACATTCTGAGGCAACAGTGGTAAAGGACTAGTTCACTGCATGAAAAAATCAGCAGTGCTCTATGCAGTACTGTTCAATTTCAGCTTTTGTTTTAAGGAAACCAGATCAGTTAAAAAAATTTAAAAGGCTGACGATTTACATTGTGCTTTTTTAAAAGCTTTCTCTTAAATTATTTTCCAACAGATCAGTCTGGCTCTTGTTCCCATGGAAACTGGACTGGGAAGGCTGCTTTGATTGCCAAGAACTAACAGCAAAGAACTCTGCCTTGTAAAGTTCAGTTTCAAATTGTCAGCTCAAATATGTAATTGGGAGTTGTAGAAACAACTATGTATTATAAAAAATATTCCACCTTATATCTGCAAGAATCTAAGCATTCAAAAAGCCATTGCACAAAGGAACAAGTAGAGATTTGGATCCTGGTACCCCTACCTTCTAACTCTGAGACCAACTGTCACTGAAAGGTGCTACCACTGCCTCAGTGGCCAATCTAGATAGAGAGCCTTTGAGTTACTCTTAGTTCTCAGTTACAAGAACTGGCATTGACGAGTAGGACACTAGAGAAAATCTTCTTCACGATAGAGGGTAAGTTCATTAATATGCATCTGGCACAAACAAGTAATATAGTAATACAACAATATAGCACATAAAGTCTGAACTGCCTCATTTCAGTTAGCAGGAAATGGGCTTACTGTTGCAATAACTTATGCCAAATCCAGTTATTTTAAATTACCATTTTTTCTTTGTTATAATAATTTATTTCCTGTTATCTCTTTCAATAGATCTGACAGTTTGAAGAAAACACTCAAGACATGTCCAATGCATCTAATTTCAGTTATGCTATTATGTTTTAAACAAGTTCGGCTCAGCAATCTGAAATGCCCTGAGGTGATAAACATCACTTCCAAATACAAACCATTCATTTTACAAAGTCAGAAGATGTTTATTTATGAACAGCATATTTTGCAAGTAACTGAATGACAATCATCTTTCTGGCAAACAAAAATCTTCTATCACATTTTTAACTGAGAGCTCAATGCAGATTTATACCAGCTCCATTTTTGTTTCGGAATCAGCATGAAATAACTTTAACATTCTTTCATTATTAAACATTCAAACAATTTTAAAATAAGTCTGAAACTTGAAAAAATACATACTGACATATTAAAATATTTAAAATTCAATATTTAGGATAGTAAATCTAGTGTAATATTTCTTAAGAAATTATTACCACATATTGATAATAGAAATTATTATTTAGAAAATACGACTGTAAAGGAAAGAATTTTATGTACTCTTCATGTCAGTGTGCAGTATTGTCACCTGAAATGTTCATATTGCTGACATGACAGAATGTTATAAAAATAAATCACCGTACAATCCGTTTTTCTGAGGGGAACCAATGAATTTTTTTCATGACTCAATTATTGCCATCCTCCACACACTAATATTTGAGGTTAGTCTTCATTTAAATGATGTATTTTTAAAACATCCTGCCATCTGCAAAAATGTCAAGTTCTGTTGTTTTTAACGAACAGCAACTAAATTAGCAGCACTTTGACAACAGCAAATAACTGAAATGGATAGAATGTCAGAAGCAACAGTAATGCATACTTGAGTGATGAAGATAATTTTGTGCAGCTGAATAAGAATCTGCTGAACAGGGTCACTGATCTGACGCACTTTCCTTTGTGATACAGCAATTCCTGCCGATGCTGTAGATGACAACACTAAAATCAGGACAGCTCATTTTACTGCCTTTACATATTAATAGTGAGCACTGTTTAAAACCTGCAAATTTAAATATTGAGTTTTTATGCATGACCTGTTTTGCTAGTGGCGTTAGGAACAACAAGAACAAAAAAGAGTAATCTGAAAACTTAAAAGTTTAGATAATGGAATTAACAATGGGTTTCAAAGGAAATCCCTACCTCTGATTCATTACACTAAAATTTACTTTATCTAAAAAAAAAACTATATATATATTAACATACCTCTCTAATGATAAAAGTTTTTCTATATTTATTCATAAGGGAATCTAAAGATACTATAAACATAAATTATTTTAACAAAATTATCTTTCTCTACGGAATAAAACACTTTTTTTCCAAAAAAAAAGTACTTTGATGTCATGAAATTAATTCCCCTTTTACCACTAAGAATTCAATTATATCTTATATCTAACTTGGAGAATATTAAAATCTATTTTCAAATTGCCTTGTAGTGTTGTGTTTTGTTTTATCACAGCTACTTCTTGTTTCCAGTGCCTAGCAGTAGCTTGTTTTGACAGAAAGATGTAGAAAATTTGCAAGAAGCTATGAATTTTCTGTGTCTTCTCTGTATTGCATCAGAAAGTTAGCACTTTCTTTTCTTTCTCAGAAATTCCTCCCCATGAGAGATAACCCTACCAAAAGAAGAAATAAGAATATACCGACGGAGATTGCTGGCTTTTTTAAAAGGATATGGTAACAAGAATGAAAATTCCACTGAGAGGGAGAAATACTAAAATTAATTAGTCCATCACTGAACTACTACCATTTCTTCCTGTTGAATTTCTTTTTCCATTGACTCCTCTAAAAAGAGTCAGAAGGAAGACATTCTCAGGTTTCAAGTTTTTAGGGACTAACCAGATCTGAGTCGAAGCCTGCCACAAACTAAAGAAGTATGGACAATATAATTCTCCATGACAAAGAGGCACTTCTGGTATGATCAAGAAGACAGGGACATCATTTCTATTGTCAGATTTTTTGTTGCAACGCCTTTTGGCAGATAGGCTGAGAGAGGCATTACAGTTCTGCATTTTTTCTGGTCCCTTCCTAACCACCAAAAAGAGAAAGAGAGCATTTCCCTTGAGCTACTTAAAGAATTTAGCTTCGTTTTTCAGCTAGGTAATGGTGAGAGCTATGTTGTAACAATCTAATACATGACATGCCACAAATAGAACAATTTTTTCTTTAGCTCTATTCATCTCATTTTCAGCAATCTGCCAACTGTTTTACCAATAATAGATTAAGTTCTCACAGCAATAGCATGGTCTTGTCATTACAGTCTTGGAATCTTCTGTTCTTGTTAGGACACCGATAAAAACTTATTTCCTCAACACATTACCTTTTTCACTGGCTCCTATCTTGTGGTATTTGACTTCTTTGTTGCTACTGGCTTGTGTTTTTTTAAAAAAAAAAAAAAAAAGCAAATAAATCAAATAAATCAGTCCCCTTTCTTTTACATCTCTAAGATGCTTTTTTTTTTTTTTTTCCTAGGGAAATCTGCTTAATATGAGAATGGAAATGGCTGAGCAGAACAGAACAGAACATGTATTTTTCTGATCTTCAGTGGATAGAGCTTTGTTCCTTTTCTAGTATGCCAGCAACAATTGGACTTAGTGGTCTCAGTGGACCAATTTCTATACCTAAAACACCTAAAATGTCTATGTGTTTCAAAGTCAGGTAGAGTCCTCAGTTTAGCTAAGAAATTCAAGAAATTCAGGAGTTTCCATAAAGTCATTTATTTTGGGCTACTCTACAGTAGTTGTTTTGTTGTTTTTAAATAAAGAACAGCATTATTTGGGCAATGAAAAAAAGTGCTTATGAATAGGCTGATCACAACTTAATCAATGCTTCTAAGAGCATGACAATAACAAAACTTAAAGTACATTGGAGAATTTCAATAAATCAATATATTTATTTGAACTTTCATTTAACAAGAAAGTAGATTTTATTTAAAATATATCTAGATCCAGAAGCAAAGGCAACAGGTTAGACCTTATGTAAGTTGTGTTGTTTTACTCAAGAAGAAAACATTACTGACAAAAGATATCAAAACTGCTTAAATTACCTACAGGACTAAAATCATTACCAAAAGCTAATGTGTTTGTCTCTAGATCATTATAGCTCTGATGGATTATGGTGGGATAGTTGGTTTGAAGTGTGTGTTGTTATTATAATAGCACTCATCAGTAAACAGTACTGAAAAGTGCTAAAAGTGGAGGACAAATTTTGATTTGTACTCTGCAGTGAAAATTCCTAATGCAACTTCTGCATCAAAAAGCTGTGAAATAGAAGTTAGCATGCACATGCAGTACTGTTTTCATAAAGATCAATATTCCAGCTACTCAAAATAATTTTATTTCAACTACAATTTAATTCAGAGAATATCGAGTACTACAAAGTCAGAGCTTACCAACTTACAGTATCTGAAGCTTCTCAGTATGAAAGAAAAGTATCATAATTGCAAAATTTGTTTCATCAGTGTTGATGGATAAATACAGGATAATTTACAAAAGTTCTAATAAATTTTCCCTTCATTAAAAAAAAATTCCAATTGCATTTAGAAGAAGCAGAGCTAGGTTAACAAACATTAAAATGAAGTCACACTAATGTAGCATTAAAATTTACTTAAAATTTCCATAACAATTTTTCAGACAACATATTTTCATCTGGAATGTCTCTGCTTTTCTATCCTTTTAAAACCCTCATATTAGATAATATCATATTTTTTCTGATTGCAAAGAACTACAAATGGAAGACTACAGGACAGCCACCTTGTCTCTGATCTTAGTGCATGCCTTGTGCATGAGTAGAGACAGTTTCAGGAGTAAAGGCACTTTCAGAATGAGATGAAGTGGAAGTGAATTTGAAGAAATAAAAGAGTAGATATTATATAAGCAACAGAAAAAAAAAAAAATTTAATTGGAAATTATTAAGTTTAATTTCAATTATAATTTTATTTTATTTTAAGTGTAAAATTACCTGGTCGTAGTCTTGATCCCAGGCCTTCAATATAGTCTCTATTATTAAAATAGAACAAAAGAGGGACAAAAAAAAAACACCAACAACACAAAACAAAGAAGAACTCAGAGCAAAATTGTTGTAGTTATGCTGGGCATTAGAGGCTGTAGAGGAAATATTAATATTTGCTGGATCTTACTCATGTTTCCTCTAAACAAAGTCTACCCCATTTCACTAGTTTTTGATTGTTCATTCAGAACTCAAATAAAGTTTACTTGTCCCAAGTAGCTTGACTTACAAAGTATATAAAGTATAGAAAATATATTATTTTCCTATTATATTAGACATATTTATTTTCCTATAGAATATATAATAATAAAATTTTCAAGAAGCTATGAAGAAAGATATGGTGTTGCCAATGTTTAAAAAGGGGCAGAGATGGAGAAAAAATAAAGGTGGTTGCTTCAGCACTCAGCCACTTGAGGGTTGCCACTACTGATTATAACAGGACAAAAGCTGGAAAGCTAGGGAGTGATAAGTGACCAACTGGATGGTTATGCTCCTAGCAGGAACATCTTTGAAAGCAAAAATAAAGCGATAGGTAAAGCACAGCTAGAAAAAGGGTGCACAGATGGTGATAGGGTTGAAGGTAAAGGTATAGAAATGTGCCTTGTAAACATGTTCTTGAAGGGCAATTGAGTGACTAAAATGTATGCAGTGCAACAGTGATATTGATTGCATGACAGTCCTATGAACTCAAGCATCAATTTAAGCAGACTACTCAGTAGCAAAGATTATATCTTAGAGATGTAAAGGCAGAACAGCTAGATAAATATATTAATATATATTCTTATCTATATTATTCTTATATATTCTTATGTAAATATATTCTTGAAGGTAAGAAGTCTGAGAGACATGCAGGTTAAAGCAGAGGCTCAGATCTCAAGGTATTATTGGTCAGGATAGGTAGAACTAGAAGCACAGACAAATTTCCTTGTAGTTATACAGAACTCAACTGTAAGCTTCACGGTCAAAAAAAAGATCTTACAGAGATGAGCTTACAGAGATGAGCTATGATATAAAGCTAATTTCATTGTTTGTAGCATGATTTTGCAGGTATGAATAAGAATATGCAAAGAAAAGATGCAGAATTAAGAAGACAGCAGATTAGGTGATAAAGCCATGTGCAATCCTTGGAAAAGTCCTTAAAAATAGTTTAAAAAAATAGGAGAATAGAGTCAGAAAAACACTGTTTTAAGAAGATTAATTTTAGATTAAGTGCCAGTGGTAAATAGCAGATAAAGAAAACAGACCCTGATTTGGAAGAGGTTATTAAGTAGCTTAGTAAGAAATGTTTAGTAATATTTTTTAAGTACAACTGGGCCTACAGAAATGGGAAAGGGATCAATGCAGTTATCATAAGGAAGTTAAAAGTTAAAAAGAAAACAATCAGGAGGTTTTTTTGCATGTGAAAGAAAAACTGTAATTAAGCTATAAGGAACAGAATCTACGGATTAGGACAAAGACACCAGAAAAAATAATGATTGATAAAGAATGCATCTGAGGCATTTCTGAACTAATTACATCAGGAAAAGAAAGATCTTTGCAGGGAGAATGGGAGTGGCCATACAATATTTTGTTTTGTTTCATTTATGTTTTGGAAGCAATGAGCAGCACTACAGAATTCAAAAAAATTAAGTTTGTATAGAAGGTCTACATGAAATCAAAGGGATGTGATATTATTTGACAATATCAAACATGTAAACACAATTTTGCATGGAAAAAACAGCTGTGAAAAGATTCAAAACCAGAATTTTCTAATCAACTTATATCATTTTAATGATGATGTAGCAATGTCCGCTTATAAAACTTCATCAGTTTAATGCCAGTCCTTAAATTATTCACATAAAGTTTCTGTGCGCAAGCATGTTCAGGGTCTTAAAGCACTCTAAATATTGTAGGCTGATACAAAATGAAGTTGTAACAATGAATAAGGAATTGTTTAATGGAGGTAATTGTGCAGCTTTTCTGTTGTGAATTTACTGACTGTAAGTGATCATAACAATGACAATTTATATAATCTATATTAAAATTATAAATAGTACGTACCTAATCTGAGGTTGTCTTTCAGAAGTACCAAGGTTTTGTTTTATGATACCTGAAACAAATGCATAAATATTGTCTCTGCATTCAAAAATAATTATATAAATCTAAGATAATTCTTTCTATTTCTCAGATATGCTTTGAAAATAGCTTTTAAAAATCAGGGGTAGACAAACTAGATTCACATTTGCTGTTTGACGTGTCAAAAATGAGCTTGTGCTTTACTTCCAACCCTGCAGAATTCACAGATTTTCACTGAAACAAAGAACACATGCAGACTGCAGGACCACAGATGTATCTGGGTTAGCATTAAGTACTCAACTCAGTTACTGCTATCACCATAGTCACAACAGCATCTCTAGTCTGTGTAAGAATATAAAATATTTGCCCATTTTCTAGGAGGACCTTGGATGGGTTTCTAAAGCTTGTTTTACCAGAGTTTTATTGCCACTAGTCTATTAGTTAACTATTTAAACCTACTGCTTTAATAATTATACTGATTTTAAGACAAGAGTATGATGAGGTATTGGTCAAACACCCAATCAGCAATAAAACTGAACCTGAACATATATGTCATGTATTGCATACTGCCTAAAAATGTGAAAAAGGTGAGTAATATTTGGTGAAACTGATTATTTATGCACTTGGAAAGTATTGTCTTAAAGCAAGCATTTGTCTTAAGCTACTATCTTAAGCCTGAGACTTACATATTGCTACAAAACCATTTATTTGACACTAATTTTGACATGAGGCCACTCTATCCTACATGGTATCTCACTTTGAAAGGGGAGGAATAAATATATGCTTAAATCAAAAGATATTTCATCTGGCCAAAGGTCTAACTAGAAAATGAGGAAATTTATTTTTCCCATACAATCAATAATTTTCAATACAAATCCCCACCTTCTTGACTACATAAGATGTTCTTCCACACTAATAATATCACAAGCATTCCTATAAAACAAGAATAGTGCCACCTCGTCATTCAAATGTGGTTTAAAAGGAAAAAGACAACAAACTTCTTTCACTATTTTACTTTCTGTTGGTATTACTACTACAGTCATTAGTTCTAGAACAATAATAGCTTTCAGAGAGCAAATATTTCTGAGAATCTTAAACCTTCTTGTGTTCAACCACATTTTCAGATGTGAACTGAAATATAAATCTTCTATTTTTCCTACTTACCTAAGATGCTCTGTCTTGAATGAAAAAAAAAAAATCTTGCAGAAGGCTGGCTTCTGTCACCCAGAATTCATTTAAACCCATCCCTAAATTATTTACCTTTTATTTAAATCAAACTTGTCTGCTTAAAACGAGACACACAGATTGAAAGAAAGAAAGGAAAGAAGAAACATTATTTTATTCCTTGCTCATGTTTGCAAAACAGCCATTGAAACTCCGTAGCAGTTAGACCAAAAGGTTTTGTGAGAGTACTTGCTATACACGATAGCAAACAACGTACTCCCTTCTAGATGTAAAGATATTTCAATTAACTTCAACACAATAGATAGGAAAACGCAGCGCCTAGTATCTAGAAAGCAAACAAGGACTTTCAAAAGAAAAAGCTATGACAGTTCCTATTAATGGAATACATAATTTACCTGTGTTGGATGCAGAAGCCATAATACAAATACAAAATAAAATCTCCTATTGAACCTGAATAACATTGCTTGAGACTTTTTGAGATTGCTTTTGAATTACACTCAAAAGGCATTTTCCTATATCAAAAAATATAATATATTTAGGAAATGTATGTAGAAGAAAAACTGTAACGGAAGGCACGTGGCTAGAATGCTAAGTTTGAACACAGCTGTTTCCTGAAATTTTTAAAAAACAACTCCCTTTTTCCAGTACTCATATACTAAATTGGATCTGAAATACTATACTCTGTTTCAAATAAATGGTCTTTACCAGTAAAAAGCTTATATATAATTTTCTTGATCAGTTACTTGACTCATAACATTTGACTTGCAAATCTGCCAGCTTATATTTACAAGCACATGGTATTTCACACCAGAGACTGCCTCACCATTCACTGTACATGGCAGAGATGTAGTATTTTCTGATTCATATGCTGAAGTTAAGAAAATACATATTAAAATTTACCAAAGAAAACTAGAAATCATGCTGCAGAATATCACTAAACACCAGTCAATACCCTTCAGCTCCCTTACTATCACTCATGCTAGAACCCCACTGAGCAGCCACAACAGGGAGAGAAGTCTCTTCATGTTAGACACTACAAAAACATATTGGAATAATTTCTTCATTTACTAAGGACAAGGAGATTGACACATCTAAAAGCCATTACAACACATATTCACATGTGTGTACGTGCACCCATCAAACACTATCGACTTTGGTTATAATCCTTAGTCTTTTGTGTGAGTTATACTAATCAGATTAAGCCAGACAGAAAGAAAAAACAGATGTGTAGGAAAGTTAACTAGCATAAGTAATGGAGCACATAGTAAATTCTGACGTTCAGCGCAATGTATTAACTGGATCATATTTCTTTTCACCATGGTTACTCCTTTATAATGGATGGCAAGAGTAAGGCAACTTCTGTTTTGCTCAAATGCTTAACAAGAGGGAATTTCTCAGTTGATTATTTCCTGGAAAATGAAACATAGACCTTCTGCGTCTTCCCTGTTTTGTGCCCATCGTTGCTAGGATGCAAAAGACACACAAGAACCAAAGATTTTGATTCACATAAGCCTTCCTGTTCTGAATAGCTCTATGAAGATCCCTTAAGGACAATTTAAAAAAATCAGATGAGTCACCAAGAATTTTTCTGAGTGGTACTTCAGTGTTTAACAGATTATATAATAAAAGTAACTTCACAGCATTCATTGACATCAGAGCAAATAATCAAGACATGTTCCAATATAGTTCAGTATTTTCTCTTGCAGGCATCTTATCACATAATTTCAAGAAAAGAGCTTACAATGTGATATGAGTTGAAAAAAACTTGGAAAGATAGAAACTTTTGCTTTGGCTTTCACTTTACTGTGACAAAAAAAAAGAAAAAACCCTCTGAGAATACTTTCAAGTGTAATCATTGATAGGAAAATTAAATCGAGATTTACAGACCATCTTCCTGAATGAACAGCCTTAATTAAAGAAGCAGTAACTTCTCAAATCATGAAATCCACCACTATACATATATATTTTATAATATATGTATTTCAGAACTATAACTGTTCTGAAAAATACAAAAAGCTCTGTGATCAGAGAACTTACAAGACACAAGGTAGCTGCTTTTTAAGTGCAGATTGTAAATGCAAGTACAGCTCCAGACAGCAGTTGACATCACCGAATAGGTATTTATTTCCTAACAAGTTTGTTGTTGCTCACAAAAATAAAGTCAGAGCTAAAGGATGACTACTTCAGTGCCCCATCATTTGCTATGTACATGTAGAATTCTAATATTGACAGTATCCTAGTCTTGGAAATCTCCAATCACTGAACTGTATTCTTTCGACTGGTTTGAGCATTATCTGCGCAAGACTCAAGTTCTAGTACTGTATGAATAAATAGTTTTTCAGAACATTCGAAGAAATTCAAAGGAGAGTCTTAGAAAGCTATTCTACTAGAATATTCTGGCAGATCTGTGGTCTCTTGAATAAGAATTCTAAATACTATTTGATTTCAGAAATTTTGTCAGGAAAAAGGAGTCATGAATCTCAACTTCTTTGATTACTGGTCACAAGCCAGTTAAGAGCAAGGATTCCTCCCAGTGCTAGATGCACAAATGGTACGAGGTAACAGAAACAGTCTTGAGCAAGATACAGAATAGTGACAGCACTATGTGTGCATTAAATCTTCTGAGCCTCATGAAAAGCTAGGAACTGAGCAATTCTGAAATTGATCTGTTGTATGCTTAACTTTTTATTGTGAGGAAGGTCAGAGGACAGGCATATTTACAAACTTGGGAAGTAGGATTTTTTAATAGCATATTTTGCAGACAACTAGTCTTCCTATGCCTTTCAGAAGCATTATTTACAATAGTACATTGTCCTCACTGCAGTGCAACTGAACATGATTCAAGGAAAGAAATTTTTTTTCCAAAAGGTCTTCCCAGAAATATACACTTAAATTCTCTCTTACTGTCAACTGACATTCCAGCTTTAGTGAACTACTATTCATTAAAATATATCACATATTTTCTTGCTGTTTGCTTTTGCTAGTAGAAATGAAGTACAGTTACACCATAAATAAAAGCAAATAACGAGAAAGAATTATGATTAAGTCAAGATGCAGCTGGGAAACTTCTTAATTTTAAAATAAGAAAAATTTATACAAACAATAAGCTGCTACCATCACTTTTTATTGCTTTTTGACTCAATGACTTTATCCTCTGTTCCTTTATCTTTTCAAATTATAAGGATTTCAGGGAGTGGGAAGAAATACCTCTTCTACTACTGCCTCTATACATCTGAAATGTGCATAATCTGCTCCTGTAGAATTAATCATGTCAAGGAGCATGAATATGTTATTCAGATTCTATACAGACTGATTCTGACAATTTTAGGAATTGCTAAAGAAAGTGATCTTGTGGAACTGTGCTTTCTAAACTAAGAAAAAAAGTCTTTTTCTAAAAGCATAATTAAAAAGCAGAGGTATTAAGTTATTAAAAAACAGTTACAATTTTTGGACTATAAAAAAAGCAAACTATCTGCATATCGGCTTCTGTACCACTAAACAAAACAGCATAGCACATCTTTTTTAAAATAGCACCTACTTCTGAACTAGAGGGATATTTTTCAACATTTAGTGATTATGATCACAATCAATACACCTGTAATTTAAACTCATCTTTTCCCGTTAGCACTTTCTGAGTTAGTTAGATAAAGTTGGTCACATTCTCCCCTGTAACATTGATATGACTGACAAAACTATGTCTGATAATTTATACATTGTGAGCCAACTACTAGCAATCAATGGAGCATAACCCAAGCTGTACTGGAATCTATAGTAATTTTGTTAATATTATCTTTTCCTTTTCCATGAAAAGAAGAAAAATTTGCCAGCATTTATTGCAATTGATGCTAAATTCATTGTATTAAACAGAACTACAGGTGATCTAAGATCTAAGTGCTACCTAAGTGTCACACTATGCCTCTCTCTATCTGGTAACCTTATGCTGTTACAGTCTTAGCACAGTAGAGCAACAAAAAAATTCACCAAGAATAATTTGGTTATTAACTCTGGGCTGAGCAGCCATGCAGCCTGCAGAATGTTAGGCTTTCTGGTTCAAATTATAAAATGATGTTAATGGATTTTAAGTAGAATTCACTCATAAGCCCTGCAGTAATAGCTAGACAGTTGGATTCATAGCAGTCACATTTCTTCAGTACCTGGGTCAAAATCTGAAGGAGGTCCAGCTAGTAAATGGCACTACAGACAGATTAAGTTATTTTATGGTTTCGAAGCCTGGAACCTCGTACCAATTAAATTTGTTAATCCCTTCACACTTAAAAGGACATTTTAAAGGATCCACAGATTTTGTGTCAGAACTTAATGGTATTAATGGCATTCTTTGATTATTTTTAGTTCTAATATCACTGTTCTTCTAGTATAAAACGTTCTTTAATTTCCACTAACATAATCAGAATCCTACCTCATTTAATAATTAGCTCATGGATTTAATAATTAGGTCATATTTGAGCAAGCAGCCAACAGTGACTACTGATGTCACTTTTTTTTTTTTCATACTTTGAGTATAATCCAAAATCTATTACTTAACACTTGACATAGGTGACTCCTAACTTTTTATCCTAAATAAAGGCAGAATGAATGCTGTGTTTTGTCACATAACTCCTTCTTACTTCAAATCTAAACATTAAGCATTCCTGCAATAGCATTCAATGAACTTACACAGCTAAATCTTGCCTCTATCAACTTTTTTTTTTACATCCACTAACTGGGCACTCCATTTCTTCATATGCATAGAATTATTGTTATTGAGACAAAAGTTTTCACATTATGTCTCTTGTTTCTTATCCACTCCAATTATTTTATGCTTCAAATCTAAAACCAAATTCATTGTCAAGTTTCTCAATAATATTCCGGGTTTCATAGCCATTATTTGAAAATACAAGCATGAGTTACATAAAGAAAATGTGATGTAAAATGAATTATACATATATATAGCATGATATAGAGGTACAATTGTTTTAGTTTTCTTTTACTTAGGGCCGTAACAGCTGGTGACCTTGCAATGAATCATAAAACAACCTAGCATTTTAGAATAAGTGACTATTTTGCCATTAGAAAGCACTGGACCCTCTCATTCTTAAAGTTCCTTACCAAAAGCAGACTCTTTGAAATGACTTGAACTGGAACTACTTGAGTTGTCCAATACATCGAGCTCATCATCTAATTCTGAGAACAAATCTGCAAATAAAAATTAAAGCAAATTGTTTTTAATCCACTTCTGAGCAGTATACTGATATTTCCGATGCTTTTTTTTTTTTTTGCTAACAACTACCTTTCTCAGAGTTCTCTAAACTGCTGTTGTCCTCTATCGGGATTTCTTCATATGTTCTCTTTTCATCTTTTCTACATGTAGAATGACAATTCTCTGCCCGGATGCCAAGGTTTTCTGAAAAATCACTTCGGCAACTCACTGTTCCAATGGTGCTTCCTTGAAGTCTCAACTTGTCATAATGGTTCTGACAACAAAGAGCAAAAAGGAAATGTTAGACACTGTTCTTATACAGCACCTATCAGAAAACCTGTAAATGAAAGAGTCGTGACTCAAGATAAAGATAGTAGGATCTCATATACGGGAAAATATGGGATATATGGGAAATTAGCTTTATCTTATCTTAAATAATAATAAGCAACTGAGTTCTAGACAACACAAAGCCTGCACAGCAGTCAAGCTGGTAATAAAATATGAAGTGAACTTGATGTGATGGGATGTGACATCACAACAGAGAGATTGCACAAGGCTGAAAGGACCAAATGCTGGCTGGCATTACCAAAGCACAGCTAAGAAAATAAAAATGTGGGATACATGTAGGTCACTCCAAAATATTATCTACTATTTATTTCCATGGAAACCACAAGAAAATGTACAACATTATTTGACAGAGCATATTCTCAGCTACAAAACACTATTTTTAACACAGTCACCACCATTAACTGTGCATTTTGACCAGCACTGAGCAAGAGCCTGCATGCTGTGCTCATGAAAACCTGCACCAGTGGAGATGAATGTCAATGTCACTGTTATTGTTGAAATGCATCACCCAGCACCTCACTGCTCTCACATCCACTGTTTGGTCTCCAGAAACATTCAGCAAGCATCAGTGGATGTCAGTGGGTGCAATTGTTTCTGCATGGAGAAATACAATTCTACTCTTCTGCACTTCCATGTCAGACACCAGTTTGTCAAACTGCCCCTCTGCTGCCATCTGTCACACGGCAACAAAATGTTACAGAATATTGGTGGGAAGGCTCTACCTCTACTGCTGTACACCAAGACATGCCTCTGATATCATGGGCCAACATAATAAAACAGGAGGCATTGCTTTCAGAGCTGCTCTGCCTGTCACATTTAAGAACTAAGTCTCATCTGTAGCAAAGGGTTCTTTAATGAATATAAAATTCTATTTCTGCTGCTCTCTTTGTTTATAGTTTCTCTGGAAAGAATAGGAATACTTGATCCTTGTTGTTTCTCCTATTTGAATGCAACAAATTTTGAAAGCAGACTGCTTTTATGATCTCTCTATAAATCATTTCAAGTCTTCTCATATTATTGCTGTTGTGTATCAATAAATTCATGTTTCTTCTAGTATTGCCAGCATAGTGTGTGATAAAGAACAAGAGATAAATTATGCAAATCTATCAGGTTACTCTGCCCATGGCAGGGGAGTTGAAACTAGATGATCTTTGAGGTTCTTTCCAACCCAGGCCATTCGGTGATTCTATTATTCTATATCCTGACATTACCTTAATATTAAAGATAGTCATTTGTTTAACCTGATAGATTTTCATAATTTATCACTTGTTCTTTATCACACTTTGTGCTGACAATACTAAAAGAAGCATATAATACATTTCTAAGTAAGTCTGTTCTTGCTAGGTGTGTAAATAGCAATTTGGACTGTAAGGCAATTTTCTTCCCCAGTCAGTCCAATGAAGCATTTCTACCTTACTGGAACACAGCAGAAGGCACATCCTGAAAACTACTGTTTCTTAACTGCATCCAAGCCAGAGATTGTAAACATATATGACAGAAAAGTTATACTGAACTTGTTAAGTACTTCAAGTGTTTATTAAACTGAAAATGGGTATTCAGCAAAATTTTTCAGGATCTCTTTTGACGTAGGTCCAAAACTGTCGAGCAAGTCACTGAATTCCAATGACAGTCTAGATGGAATGTTGATTGAATGTACACACAAGCATATCATGTCATATTACAGCACACATACCATATACAGAGTTGCATCAGGGCAAGTGAGAGATTTTGAAGCCAAATTTGGCATAAAGGAGAAATTGGGGGAAAAAAAATAACTAATTTTAAAGATGAAAAACGCAAAGATCTATACAGGGAGAAACAGTGTGCACAGGCTTGGAAAAGGACTGGCCAGACAGCATCTCTACATGAAAAGATATGGGGATTTTGATGGGTAAGATATAAAGCATAAATCAGCAATACCATGCTGTTATGAAAAAGAATCACACTGTGATATGTGAAGAGGAGAATAATCTCTAAGAACTATATAATCTTTCTACTCAGTACCAATAAGGTTCTCAGTAGGAGTAACTGAGTTCAGTTTTGACTAAACTTGAAAAAAAAAAAAAAAAAAATAGAGAGATACCAATGGAGAGATATGAGGATAATCAGAGGTCTTAGTAGACACGAATTAGAAAGTCAGACTGATGGAATTTGATTATTTAGCCCAAAGAAAATAAATGACAGAGGAGACATATTTCCACATGATTTCCACTGAGAGAAATCAAGCAGCTTAAGCTGTAACAAGTGCAATTTAAGTTAGACTTTAAGATCACCCAAGACAAAGGAAGGACTTAACCATCTGAAATCCTGCAAAGAGAAGTGGGCACACTGTGTAATAGGTTTGAATGTGCTCTGTAAATCTAATGTTCTGTGGACTTGCTGAACTTACTGCTCTCAGAACAACTGTATGACAGTTAAGAGTGGATCTGGAAATTTCAGGATCATACATCCCACATATTTATGGGATGTCCATCTTATGTACATGCTTATGTCCATTTAATATCTCCCGGAAACAAGACAAAGATAGAAAGTGTCAAGCATACAATATGAGACTAACATTTTCTTGAGAAAAAAAAAAAAAGACACAAACTGCAGATACAACATATAGCATAGTGCAGATGTGCTATGGACATGCCAAGGATTTCCAATTACTTCAGGACAGTTCATAGTTTTCCACACATTATCTTTGGATGGAATAAAAGATTGAGACAGATATACAATCACTGACAGTAAAGGCAGTTACTACTCATTCAGTTCTGGTTCCAAACTGTTCCCTAACCCACGATAGTCTCCTTGGCATGACAGAGACTTTCTATCACTAAACATTTTTATGACTGAAGGGTGAAACACCTGTCAAGAGTGATAGGCAGCTCTAAGGACTGCAGACTTGTCTCAAATTCCATGATTCTATTGAAGTACTTTGACGTATACATTGAAGCTGAATTAAACACATAATATGTTCATCCCTAATGGGAGCGTCCTTAAAAGCAATAACTGTTCCTTTTTCCAATGCCTGCTACATAAATTCCAAAACAGCAAGATGCCAGAACAAAACCAATGGAGTGAAAGGTGGATGAAGAAAAGACTTGTAGACTGCTAAGCATCCATGACATCCCTGTGACCTCACCCATGATTGGGCCATATTGCTGCAACATCAATAACCTGTAACATTCTGGGTGATTTAAAGTCAATCCCTCTCTTTGCTTCAACCAATACAAAAACACTCGCTGTGTTCACGCACAGTTGTTTTAAGAAAAATTAAAGTAAAAAGTATGCATTTTCAGAGGATCACCAAAGTTGGAAAAGACCTTCAAGATCGTCAGTCCAATCATCCACCTACCACCAAAGCTTCTCCACTAAACTATGTCCCTTAGTATAACATCTAAAAGTTTCTTGAAAACCTCCAGAGACAGTGACTCAATCACCTCCCTAGGCAGCCAGTTCCAGCACCTGATCAGTCTTTTGGAGTAGAAATTGTTCCCAAAATCCAACCTGAATCTCCCTCGGTGCATCTTGAGGCCATTCCCTCTCATTCTATCTCCAGTTTTGCAGGATAAGATGCCAATCTCTACCTCACCTCCTTTCAGGACACACTGATTGACTGAACAAATAAAATACACATCCAGAGAAAAAGGAGACTAAAATTAACATTGGTCCATTTTTTTTTTCTGTATCTACACTGACAAGAAAAATAGATGAGTCCAAACTAAACTACTTGAGTACTACTTTGTAATGCAGGTGGTGATGCTTAGAAACTACTGTTATTATTAGCAGGGTCAAACTGCCAACAGTGCAGAAATGAACTTGGGTGTGGAGGAAAACGAGTAGATGAAAACAGCTGAATCATTTTGATCTCCTTTGCCTTTCAAATAGCTGTGAGCCTGTCCTCCTTTTTTTAAAGCTGGATAGATTGACTACTGTTTTTCTTATCACGAGAGTTGCTAGTAGGCTGCAGAGTGGTTACAAAGGTATGGATTTGTAAACTATGAGTCTTAACTCTTCCCTTTTGGCCACACATCACTGTGAGTGATGAAACAGATTGGGATAAAGAGAATTGATTCCTGTGGATATAGAAAAATGGGAGAAGTAACATGTTTTGCATTTAGAGGTATTCCTACAAAATACATCACAGTTATTTTCATTGTGGTCTGATATAAGTGAAATACAAAGAAGTCTCAACTTATTTGTAGAATTTAGATATGCTCTTTGTGTTTCTAAACCAGTCTTGGAAAGACATAATACAGTATTCTAATTATCTACATTTGGATTATGAAGGTAGATTACTCATGCCATGGATGACAGAAAACTGCCTCAGCCATTATTGGCTCTTTAAATTTAAATGTTCTGCTATATTGCTTCTTCCATTATTTCCAGACAAACCAGACAAACTCCATTTGTTTCCAGACGAACTCCACAGAAATGGAGAAAAGGAAGCTTCTCCCCAAAAATATGTTAAAAATGGGCAGACTTGATAGACTGGCTGCTGAGAGTAGCAGGAGGAGTAAGTGGTTTTTATTTTCTTATACATATTATAGTTGACAAATTCCTATCACAAAATTTACAGGGCTTTTTTTTTTTTCTCAAAAAATGCTATCAAAATCATATTTTGTTACTCTTCTACATCTTTAAAAGAGAATATAAAAAATATACTTTTATTATTAGTTATTGGGGTTTAGATTTGGCTTGGATGTCAGGAAACTCAACTTTACCACTAGTCTATTTGATCACCTTGCACAAACTACCTTTTTCCTCTCCATCTTTTCCTACCCAGGGTACAAAAATATAATACTGACTACCTTGAAATGAAAGGTACCATCCAAGAGACAATTACTACTATTACAACTACTGTATTAGGTCCTTGTACCCCGTGTTATGTCAGCAAATTTTCACCTTTCAGAACAGAAAACACTAATTATATTAAACACCCTTTATCCTTACAACTGCACCTATTATTACATCAACAACAATGTCTATGGAAGACAATGAAAAATAAAATCATATAAGTGAAAGCTGATAATTATTGTTTATTTTTATAATTATTTTCAAGGATGGATTTTATGCCATATTTTTCAGGCGAGGTGTCTATGCTTCTTCAGCATCATCTGCTGACCAGTCTGTCACACTGCCTATTGATCAGTTTCTATACTGGACTTAAGCTATGTATGAAAGAGATTCTATACTGGCTTTAAAAGATATATGGTGTATAGTTCCATAAGCAAGGACACAGAGCATGCTCTTTATTTTGGAGACATTCACAATATGACACAATTGGGATGAAGAAGGAGGCAAAAAGTACATTTCAGTAGAGAGAAAACAAAGTATAAGGTAGCTGGCTTCAACAAAGCATTGAACTACATGGCAGAAACACTGAATTCTCTGACACCCTGGAAAAATGACAAATTACCTAGCTATGGACTTGCTGGAGCCTTGACTAAGATTAATTAGGCTGTCCATACCTCACAGTTTTTATTTGAAGATCAGCTGCTTGAAATTCTTCCTAATAAATGAAGTCAGGATATTGTCCTTTTTTGTAAGTAAAAATTTTCAGGAATAATTATTCTTTTTATTAGAAATCCTCCAACTTCATAAAGTTTCTCTTCAGTGCTGAAAGCAAGGAAATAACTTGGCTCCTTCTAATTCTAAGCACTGTAACACCCCTAAGATATTTGGAAAAATCCCATCCTGATATACTGTCTTATTTAAAACAACTTACAGCCAGGTCTTCCACTTATCATTAGTGAGCCATACTCTCCCAGTTTCCATGGAGTTCTGGATCTTTCCCAGATTCTCCTGCTGTATCTGTTTCATTTGTTATACAAAATAAAATATCCACTGCAGTGGAAATAAAATTAATGCATTCCTTCCTTAAGAAGACTAGCCATTTTACCCTAGAATACAGAGGGACCTTCCTTCTCTTTTTGTACATAGGTGTATCTTTTTTTTCATTTATTTTGTTATGCATTTATACAAATCTAAGTTCAATGTAAAGTTATTAGTCATATCATATTATACAAGTATTTGGATAGATCATTCTTCCCTAAAAGCCATTGGCAACATTTTATTGAAAACAAGGTATAAAACAAACAAAAATTTTGTACTTTTAATAACAATTTCTACAGTCTCAATCAGACACATGAAGAAAACATATTCAAAAAAATCCATGAGTGCAGGACAATGTGTTCCTGAAAAACTCTTTGCTACACAGAGGTTTTTCAGTGCAAACTACTGGCCCATGATCAAAGGAGTCAGTGTTTCTAACAGTGATATAACAGTTGGACAGACAAGAGCAGTGGTGTAAATTATAATTTTACTTTATAACTGCTCTTAACAATAATTATCACAGTGAGGTTTTAGCACACAAATAAATTGTGCTTGTATTTTTTAAGTAAATTCTCCAGGATCACATAGAAGTTTGGTTCATCATGTAAAACACTGATTTACTTCATGATGAGTGCTTAAAACAGCCTGTAGCAAATAAAAGAACATTAAGAGGTATATTCACAGAAGTGTATCAGACAGTAAGGAATTATTAACAAATACCAGCATCAATGCTCTTTAAATCTATAATTTAAAATCATGTATGTATTTTCCATTTTCTAGATTCCATTATTTGAGAATCATACCCAAAATTATCAATGTTCCACTGTAGTGAAATCTCATTCACAAGTGCAATTAAACATTTATTAGTAATTAAATATTAGTAGCTATTTATTAGTAATTAAATACTGTCACATTCTATCAAAACAGGAAGCACCTCCATAATAACTTCTATTTTCATTTTCCAATTGAAATGAAAGCACTTTTAAGGTACTGTTATTTTTGCTGTATGAGGATGCCCACAAAAAAAAAAAAAAAAAAAAACAACAGTGAATGAATATCTAGTTGAAAATAAATTAAAAATCCAGCATGGAAAATGTTTTAAGAGAATTGGTCTTTTCAGTTTTATTTATTTTTTCTACCTCCTTTTTTTTTTTTTTTTTTTTTTTTACCTTATTTTCTAAGATATGGCAAACAGTGATAAACAAAAATAAAGCTTAATGCATGCACTTACTTGTGGTAAAATAGAAAGCTGATGTTGACAGGCTGCTGCATTTCGGTTTGCTTCCGTGAAGTACCTCTGGGTTCGTCTTCTCTCCCGATCCAGTTTCTTCTCCAACATGAGATGGGAGATAGATAAAACATCCAAATATTTCATCATCTCATCAGACAGCAGCGAACTGACCTCCACTATGTCTGGACGTTTCTCTGCATCAGGGGTCAAGCACCTATAAAAAGAAACATTCTCTAATGAAAGCTAATTACTTCCTTCTAAAAACTTTGCTACCACTGCATTCCTCCATTGATAATTATCAAACCATGGCAGCCAGCACTTGGGACAAAACAGAAATTTAGCAAGGGAACAATTTTTATTTCTTAAACTCTCAAAAATTAAAAATGGATGCACTTCAGAAAGGCATAAATAATTTTACACAAAAAGACTGAAGAGGGAACATCTGCTAGCTTATAAAAATGTTATTTCAGAAGTCTTCGTAGTGAGAAATTTATCAAGCAATATTTTCCCATTTGAGATTGCAACAAATACAGCAAGATAACAGAGATGTAGAAGTTGTCACAACAGATAGCACAGCAGGGACACACAGGGGCCCAGAAGCTCTGCTCAAGCCTATAGGGGACAGTCCGACACAGAAGCTTTGGTGTTGACACACCAAAGGCCATTGTGGAAAGACTACCAAGACTCATCTGACCCTTGGCTCATTACCCCCTTTCTGCTCATCCATACAGACACCAATTTATCCCTAGGGCTAATTCTGAAAATACCAAATGTGACTTCAGAGCACTGGGATAGAAGAGAGAAGGACAGGGAGCTGAAGTGGCGATCCTCAATTCTTTCAATGAGGGGAAAAATGTCAAGCCAGGGAGGAATCAGCTTGCCGGTCAACAGCTGGCTTGGTATAGTCAAGAGCTTATGGGCAGGAATTACAGGAACAGACAGTCATTATTTTAAATACTTGCTGTATTTATGACACAAAAGACAAATATGTGACTGGAAACAGCTGGAATGGATTTATTGTCACACAGTTATCACACATTGACTTTTTGTCACACAATATTATCACACATCTGACTAGTGTGACTGCTCTCCATGATGAGAGATAGCTGCTCTGTAGACAGCGGGAGAGCAGTATACGCTGTGGATACCTTTACTGCAGCAAAGTCTTTGACGTGATATTCCACAGTATCCACAGGATTATAGGTTAGGTAAATAACTGCCTGAAATTATTGGCTCAAAGAGGTGTTATCAGAAGTGCAAAGTCCAGATGATGGCTGAAAGTAGCATTCTTCAGGGACTGAAGAATTTTAACATCTTTATTAATAGCCTAGACAACTGAATGAATTCTCAAAGAGCTTATGAAAACTGAATTGCTGGGAGCAGTTGATACAGAGAGAGATAATAAACCTTGATCAGTGGGACCTGAGCAGGATACACAGAGCTGACTGCTATTTATTTGATGGGATAGCATAGAAGCTAAATGAATGAATTCTAAAAGGGGATAGGGAAAGAGGTAATATACACAAGCAGCAAAACAGGAAAGTCCAACTAGATATGAGGATGCATTACTACTTCTAATCTAAAAGGTGAACAAGAACTGGAAGAGGGTCTAGGAAGGTTGTAGGATCTCCATCTTTCAAGACATTCAAAGCATTTACTTACTTAGAGAAGGCTTGAAAGCTGATAGACACACTTCTTCATGCACTATAAACTGTCTTAAATCTAATAAATCCGGTGATCTGATAATTTTCTATTATTTGCATGCAGAGTAACAGTTACCAATTAGCATACATTGACCCAACACTCCTTCTTAAAGAAAGTATCACAGAATAATTGTATTATTTCTAAAATATTACTTTCTTTAAAAAAAAAAGAACGCTCTTAAAGTAGTTTAATCCAATAAAATTGGATCTTAATAATGACCATAATACTGAATAATGACAATACTGAATGCAATTTTTCAGTTATAAAATGAACTTTTCAATGTTTTCTAATCCTTATAACTTTTTTTTAAAAAACGTATTCCTTTTATCTTTCACAGGTATTGTGTTAAAGTTACTCAGAAATTAACTTCTTCATTTCTGATGTTTTCTCATCTGTACTATCAGTAAGAATTCCCTATTGCTGAATTTCTCTCATGCTCTCTATTCTACCTAAGTATCTCACAAAAATAAACTAATAGCTAGACATAGTATCTCATTTAAGGATTAATCCATAGTAAGATAATAAACAAACTTTTCATGCTACCCACTGCTTTTTAGAAAAGCTGGAAAATGCTTACATTACAGGAGAAAAATAATGTTAATTTTACATGCAGATACCTATTTAATCATCTATTTAAACCAGCTAATCTTAGTAAATAATTAATATATCAGCCAATCTCATAATTATATGGGACTTAGAGTAGGCCTACTTAATACATGTCTGTATCTATATTTATAAAGAGTAAATCAATAGCTGACCTTCAAAAAAAGCTTTAAAAATTTCCACTATTGAGTTTCTTGTCATCATCAAGAATGAAAAGGAGAAGATAGAGGGAACAGATTCTCACATACATATCAATACTGATATGTATCTTGACTTGAAGGTATTTTCTGGAAACATTTGGGAATACTACTTTATTCTTAAATGGTGAGTAATTAATTAGTAAATCCAGTTATTCCAAATACACATACTTGTAAATATTCAAAACATTTAATGACCTTCTAAATTTTAGTTCTATTCTACTAGTTCCTATGCTCTTTGTTTTTCTTCATCCTCAGGGTCCTTAAATAATAGAAACCTTTTTATGCAGAAAATATAATACAAAAACATTACATTCCTTGCACTATTAAAGCGCTTTTGAGAAGTGGAATTCAACATCTGACTGAAAAAGAAAGCTATTGAAGCTATTTTTGGAGTTTTTCTAAAATGGGCAATCAAGGGAGCTAAATCTTTTAGTTTACCAACTCACTTTCTATACTCACACAGTGTGCCTCACACATTTATTACATTAACACCAGGAACATGTAATTGTAACTAAACGAAATATGTGATGAGTGAGTGAAACAAATACAGGTTCTTCTTTTCCTCCACTACTATGTTCTCTCTTCATGAACAGAATTAGAAGGTAGCAGGAAATGTACTACTATCAGTCACAAAACTGTGAATGTCATCATATAGTGATCTACAACTGTACTTCAACATTACTTAAAATGCTGTAATTCTATGGAAGAAAAAATAATCTGATGTATAGTGGATTAACTAGAGCACTGGCATATTAAAATTCAGTACTGAGTCCAGTCTGCTGTATGTGATGTCCCCAGAGGCCCATAATGGGACCAGTGCTCTTCAATATCTTTGTCAATGGCCTGGACAGTGGACAGTGATTGAGTGCAGTCTTAGCAAGTTTGCTGACAATGCTAAGGTGAATGGTGCACTTGATATAAAAAAAAAATGAAAGGACGCCATCCAAAGGGACCTGAATAGGCGTGAAAAGTGGGCCCTTGTGAACTGAATGAAATTAAACAAGTAGACTGGGAAAAGAATGCCTTGAGAGCAGTGCTGTGGAGACTTGAGGGTCCTGATAAGCAAAGAGTTGGACCTAAGCCATCAGTGTGCACCTGCAACCAAGAAGGCCAGCAGTATCCTGAGATGCCTCAATAGAAGGTTGGCAAGCAGGGCAAGGGAGCTGATTGTCCCCCTCTACTCTGTCCTTGTGAAGCCCCATCTGGAGTACTGTGTCCAGGTCTGGGGACCCAAGACAAGAAAGATGTGAAGCTGCTGGAGCTGGTCCAGAGGAAGGTGATCAGAAGACTGGAGCATCTCCCTTACGAGGATAGGTTGAGGGAGTTGAGCTTGTTCAGCCTGGAGAAGAGAAGGCTCTGGAGAAACACTGCTTCCAGTACTTGAAGGGCGTTTATAAGCAGGAGGGAGATCTACTTTTTACACAGGCAGACCATGACAAGACAAGGGGGACTAAACTTTAAAATAAAATAGGTTAGATTTAGGTTAGATAGTAGGAAAAAAGCCTTCACTCTAGGTTGGTGAAGCCCTGGCACAGGCTGCCCAAACGGCTGTGGATGCCCCATCCCTGGAGGTAGGCCAGGATGGATAGGGCCCTGGGCAGACTGTTTCAGTAGATCTCAGCCCTGTCCATGGCAGGGGGTTTGGAATTGAATTATCTTAAGGTCTGTTCCAACCCAAGCCATTCTATGATTCTCTGAAATGCACTGTCTTACACTGTCATGCAGTTGTTAGATTCACCTATACTGAATATGTTACTAGCATACTACTTTAAATCAGTAGACATTTCATATTCAGAGACAAATACTAGCAGTTGCTGAAGTCAGCCAAAAAAATAATACAAATAAAACAAATATTGCAGCAAGAACAAAACAAGATTTACCTCTTAATGGTAAATGATACTTTTTCAGAGTACAGTCCATCCGGCACAGGTTCATACACAGCCCCTACTATCTGTAAAATAAAATACCTATTGTTAATTGAAAAAAAATTCAATGTTTTATTTAGAAATTTCATACAATACATACTTCTTGGAACAATTTGATGGGTAGGCATTACATCATCAACTTTAACTTGCAAAATAACTCAGAACACATCTTCTAATGCAAAATATCACTTCTAATCAGGTATCCACATTAATGTACATAGCCACTGTAGATCAGGGGACTGTAATATCTGAGTAAGGGAAACAGTTACAAAAAACAATGATTTCTTCTTTTATTTTTAATCATATCCAAACGTCCACACAACTCTACAGGGTAATACACAACCCTATAGAAAACGCAATATTATAGTGATAAGAATTTTTATATCTAAAAATCCTATCACATATTGCAGCAATAAAAATATATCAGTCTGAGAAGTACTTATATTTACAAGCAATTTTTGCAAGTAGAATGGAAAAACAGTAACTGATTCTGTGAAGAATGCTCCTGCTCATTCACACATCAGAGCAGAAAGCATTTTGTGCTTCTACAGCCTTAAACACGAATTTTCATGGACCTTGTGATCACATGTAGGAATAATGGGTGAGTTGATCTGGCAAATCTGAATACCTTAGTTGCCAAGGAGAGCATATTGGTGCTGTAAAATGGTGGGTTCAGAGTTGCCATCTGATAAAGGATACATCCTGCAGCCCAGACATCAGCTTTCTCTCCATATGGCTCACTCTTTACAACTTCAGGGCTAAGTGAAAAGCAGTGCAAACCATAAGTATTTAATTAATAGTTTTCACCTAGCATTAGCCTCAATTAAAAAATAAAAATAAAAAATCACTAGTCACTGCAATATACCTCCAGAGCTTATACAGTTACTTCCAAAAGGTTGCATTTCCTTTACTAGTCGAATTCTTTAAGTGAAAATACAAAATTATAGTTGGAGTTAAGAGGTACTGCACAAATTCAGTTACTGATGCAGACTGGATATGGTGCTAGAAGGTGTGCTGCCAGTTTGTTCAAAACAAATGAAAAAAAAAAATTTAAACAAATTAGCTGACATTTCTTAGATAAATTGTTATGTGGAAATGATATTAAGTGATCTTAATAGAACACAAATTCAGAATGGAGGTCACTGTGGGGAAGTGATGTAGTCTGACAGGTCAGACATTTTTGATGAAATTCATCAGGCAAGATAAAGATTCCTGTGTGAAAGTCATTAGGTACTTCCCTTTAATTTTGCTGCTGCTATTGTAGAGCAATGGAGATGAATAAAGGGCATTGAACATAATGTTAAAACATAACACGTTCTGTAGAGTTGGACTGTCATTACTCCTCACTGTGATACCAGTTCTTCAGAGGGCCTTGAAGAACTTTCATTTTGATACATTAAATATGTCCATTTGAGTGAGGATTGATGTGGTAATTTAACACACAGATGGTGATAGTGTGGTTTTGCATAGCAGTCACTGAAATAATATGTTGAAGACAGAAGGCCATAGAGACATACAGAAGAAACCATGACCTGCTCAGCAGAATCTTGTATTAATGTATGAGGCAGAACCTAGTTTGACTGTCAGAGTAAACATCAGCCCATTGGGGTGGTGGCTAGCAAAAACACATTTATTGCTACCATGATTTGGAAGTTACAGAAAAAAATACAGCGCTGATAGGTTTATGAAGGTTGTAGTTTTAACATGGTTCCACAAGAACATATAATTGATTGAAATTATTGAAAATATGTGGTCTGTTTGTTCATGCTGAAAGATTTCCCATTCTAAATACCTATCTAATCCCTTTTTCTTTTCTTTTCTTTTTTTTAATCAAAAGCAGGACTTACAGAGGAATACTACTTGGTCATTTCTTCCAGAACAAAAGTCTGATATTTAGCACGTGAAGATGGCCAGCACCTTAATGTACATGCAGTCTCATAGAAATACTTAAGAAAAATGCAAATGACTGAAGTTACATAATGTGACCACAAAAGTGATACAGAGGTTCTAAAATCCTAAATGTATATGATGCTATGCTTTCATAGCTAATGAATTCAATACTTTTGAATTTTAAATAGAAATTTCGAATATTATTTATTTACTTCTAAGTGATGAAGTGGTGAAATTCCTCACCATGTTCTAAAGGCAAACCTCACCATCTGCTAGTTAGAAACGTGGGTGAGGTACAGTACTTGTTGACTAGTAAAACAGTTTTGCAGTCAAGCTGCACCATTTGGATCTATACTATTGAGGGATGTCAAACAGAAAGATCCCAGTTTTGTTCCTGTGTTCTGCTGCCCACTAACAGGAGCATGGTGGGAACACATACAGTTTATCTAACTCAGCTGACAACTGTGTATAAACTCTTACTGTCTGGTCAAGACCAGAAAGAGCGAGTAGAACCAGACTGACATTTATACCATAAAAATCCTATAAAAGTCTGTCTTAGTAAAAAGTACAGAATAATGATTTAAGGGAGTGACATTGGTATGGTCTCTGGTTTACTTGTAAAAGCGGGTCTTTGATTCTTAGATTAAGAGATCTGGATTGGATGAAATAGAACAGTGGCACTAATCAAATTTCTAGCAAACAGATGTCCACATCATAAAATGCATTCAGTGTAAAAATAAAATACTTAAATGGAGAAAATCTGAGAGCTGATAAAAAATTACCACTGCTTCAGGGGCTGATCATACTGCTGCAAAGCAGCAGTGCAAATGCTATACTCTATGATACCCACAGTGTCCGATATTAAGAGAGGCAGCAGATACTTTAAAAATTAGTCACTTTGTGCTTGCAATTAACTTATTCATAATATTCACTGCAGTTTTCTTCTAACTTTACACATCACTGCTCATTTCCAGATTGTATATTCACGCCAGGAGCTTACTTTTGCTGCATTGTATCAAGGAGAGTCCTTCGCTGAATGAATGTCCACAGCAAAAGCAAGGCTAAATTCTTCTCAATCAGAGACACAGAAATACATCCGCAGAATAATTCTCTAAATTCTCAGTATCCTTGAATAGACTGATCTATAATTGCTTCTCAGAAAGCTCACTCCTGCTCATCATATCCACATATAATGACAGTCTACACAAACAGCCTGAAAATGAGTCTTGAACTTGATTATGTCATCAATTAATCCAAAGAGTTATCTGTTTAATCTTCTGAATTATTTTTGCAAAATTAAAGACCCAATTTAGAAGCTAATTTAATATTTTTTATTAGGGTAAAAAGCAAATAAAAATTAAATCTTATCAATATTGGTTCTATTTATAAAACAGAACCATTTCAGCAAATCATCTCTATATAGCCTCGGAGACGTTTTTATAATCAAACTTGCTTTTATAACTTTAGCCACTGATGCTATTTTGTGATATCTACTGAAGAATACTTAGAACTTCACAAGCAGATTCCGGATTCTCTACACTAACACTATCACATATCTACATGAAATATGACTGTTCTCACAGGATAAGCTCATGATCACATTAGTTTTTATTGGATAGATGTTCCAGTATGAAGGAAGAAGTCCTGAATTTGGAGAGGAAGGAAGGAAGGAACTGAAAGAATTACTTTTTCAAAACAGCATTGATTTTCTAGAGCTTCTAAAGCTTCTAAGAAATGTTTTCAGTACTATCAGGCTGACTTTACATGAGACACAACTGGTGAAGATTTCTCATGCTGCAGAGAACTTCAATAAGCCAATTTTGAATTGTTTTGGTACACTGCTCACTGCTCAGTCTAACAGTGTTTCTGACAGATGTAAATACAGGTTGGTGTATTTGACTCTGTAATACGAGGCATACCTTCAAATAAGACATGATTTCTACTAGACAGTTATGGATTAATTAAAGAGTGAATCCTCAAGACTAACCTCCCAGAAAGGTGATTACGATATTAAAAAAAAATGTCAAAGAAATAAAAGCAAATACAACTGCAGAAGATTTTAGGAATGAATGATAATTATTGCTTGTATCATAACAATTCTTTCAATTCATCCTGTACACTCTGATAGACATTTCTGCAGCTACTGGTGGTACTACAAATACTCATAGGCACCATATGTGGTTCAGGAAGCTACCCAAGCCATATATAGTTGGAGGCAAGAAGAGTACAAAATATGGTTATCCCATTCTTCTTTCCCTATGGAGATATACAAACTGGCACTGATGGAAATGGGACAAGAGGAGAGATGACAGACAAGATAGCTTTACTTTTTTTTTTTTTTTTTTTTTTTTTTGTCCCATATAATGAAAAAATATTTATAGCTTCTATTAGCTTCAGATATTCAGATCTCTTTATTAAGGCAAGATCTATAAAATAATACTTGCTTGTAGCGGATTGCCCTTTTAGTTGTTGTCAGTTGCTGGTAGAACTCATTACAGCAAAATAGAAGAAGGAACTTAAATTTAAGTTCACATGAAAGATTCTGCTTTTCACTAAACTACTGCAGAATGCTTTGTGAGTATTTGGAGAGTAGTATGAAAAGAACATAGCTTCTCTATAATCAGTCCTCTGAATCACAGAAGAGTAGGTGGTGAGAGAGAAAAGCTACTCATCCTAGCTTCCCAAAGGTGAAAAATGAAAAAGTTGCTCATAATAATCTTTTCTCTGGATGTTTTGCCGTCAGCTATAGGTCACGCTTAGTACGTATGGTAGGTTCATAATTACTAGAATAGCAACAAAAGAAGGAACAGGAGCCATACAACTGACAATTCAAAAAAGAGATTCTGTGAAAACTGTTAAAAGCTACTTGCTTTTCTCACCTACAAGAAGCAGCCTTTTGGAGGTAGTCTATTCTGTCTGTCCCTGGAGTGACAAAGCTGGAACAGCATTTTCAGTGTCTAGTTTTTTTTTTGCCTTCACAGCTCTCTATTTTGAAATTTATTGCCAAAGTATTCTATAGTAATTTCTTGCATTATCTACCAACTTGCATTTTTATTTTTCTCATTAGAAATTCTTAAGTAATTATATTTGTAGACTATTATACACAGCTATTACACATATGCTTTTTCCTCGCAAAACACACTCCTTCAAACATCCTAAGCCTCTTTGACTATAGAAAATTAATCATTTCCACCAATATTTAAAATGTACAAGGGCAGGGATGAAACTTGCTGTCTTTGGTTTGCCATTTTACAGTGTAATAAATCCTCCTGCCACCAGATGGTGAATGTAATTTCAAAATGGGTGAAGTCAGCTAGGAGAGATAACTTTCCTGTGTATTATCGCTCCCCTTAGTATAATCTCAGTAGTTTCATTTTCTAGAGCAAGCATTACCTTCCTTTATTAAGAAAGTTAGTTTACTAATTATTAATTATTTCCAGTCAAGTAAGCTCTCTAATTTGGTCCGTCAATGTGTATTTACACATTTGTGTTGACCTAGGAGTGGCATAGCTGATTTTATTTTTCCAGTTATTTTTTAACTTGAATAATTTCACTGCAGCAATTTGTATCACAGTCTTAAAAACAACTGAAGCTGACAGGCCCCGTTTTTTTGTTGTTGTTTTTGTAGGGAGGGGACATAATAAACAACTGCCAAGAGGTTACCGTAATAGAAATAAAAATAGTTTCTACTGAAACAACTGCCAGGTTTAGCCTTAGTTCATAATGTTCAGTTGAAACTTTTTTTTTATCCTTTTCTAAGTAAGAAAAGAATAGTTAATCAAAATATAACTAAATTAATAAAATATGTATAAACCTTCAGAATATTTCTTCTGAGCACAAAATCTATATAAAAATCTGCTGAACAGAGCAGAAGACTTTTACATTGAGGGCTTCTGTGTTCTTCTTCAAAAGTAGACTAGGGAGGTACATACTTGTGTTCTACCATCTTTGTACTTGTCCTACAAGAGCATGCATATCTGACAGTGAAAGATTCATGTATTTACCTGATAGAATATTTTATCTTTTCCTAGCAACTTTATATTTTCACTGCTTTTACACATATAAACCTTCATTGCTAGTAAAAGCGAGTTCTTTCTGAATCTCACAGAGCAGTAGCAAATAAACACTTCATTGCTTAAGCATTTATTTTTAAAGTATCTTTAAAATGGGAGGATAAATCTCACTGATGTTCACTGTTTCTGTTGCCTCATGCTGTCTAAACTGAATTAAATCTCTACATGTACAAACACTTCTTGTTTTATATATAGAGATGTGTGTGTGTATATTTGTACATATCTATACAAGAACAGCTCTGAAAGTATTGCCTCCCATTTTATTATATTGGCCCACAACATCAGAGGCGGGTAGTGATGGTAGAGCAGTAGAGGTTGAGCATTCCCATCAATATCTGTTACATATTGTTGCCAGATGGCAACAGAGGGGCAGTCTGACATAATGGTGTCTGACATGGAAGTGCAGAGGATGCAAAGAGGTGTAATTGAATTCCTCCACATTGAAACAATTTAACCCATTGACATTTTTCAATACTTGCTGAATGTTTCTGGAAACCAAAAAGAGGATGTGAGCACAATGAGGTAAAGGGTGATGCATTTCAGCAGTGGCAACAGTGATGTGAAAGATAAGACATGTTCTGGATGGCCACGCACAGCTGTCACTCCACGAAACAAAGAGCATCTCGGACTACTCATCTGTGCAAATTGGTTAATAGTGGTGACAATGTTGAAAAATAGTGTTCTGTAGCTGAGAATTTGCTCTATCAAGTACTGTTATTGTTTTTGTATCCATTGTAGTTTCCATGGAAAGAAATAGGAGGCATTACTTTCCGAGCGATCTATGTATATTTTCATCTATGTACACACGAACATATATATATATATATATATATATATATATATATATACTTCTACATAAAAACAAATTCTGGGCTTCTAGAATTTTCCAGCCAGAACAGTACTATTTACCTACCTTGGGGAAAAGTAGAGAAAAAAAAAAAAAAAAAAGCAGTGCAAAGACCAGGTTATCAATATTTAAGAACCTTTTACAAACTGACCAGAAGTATTGAAACTCTACATAAAAGCCCATGAAACTGTACCCAGCTGAGGGGTTTCTGTTAGCTTTTTAAAAGTTAAAGTGTATTTGTCATCTTATTTCCTCTCATCAGGATACACAATACAATGTGGGGATATATTGGCAAAATATTTTTTAATGATCCAATTAAGTCTGAATTTGACCTTCTTGTTTATACACTATATTTGTTGATTTGGAAAAAAAGTTTGCCGCCAGTGTGCAAAACTACTACATGTTTCTAGGCTTTTTTTTTTTTTTTTTAAAACTTATTTCAAGACAATTTTAAAAACCTTAAAGGCTCTATCAGAAAATGTGATGTTTCTATTACTAACATATGTTATAAAGAAGCAAATTTCACATTAACAGTAAAAAAATATATATCTAATTAAGCTCAAAATTGTATCATTGTTTCAACTGGTTTCATGCTTCTGAATTTTCAAGATCATCATATGCATGTCTGGTAAATACAAGGAAAAATCAAAGTACCATCCATACGTAGTTTAGTGTTCCAGTATTACATACAGAGCTTCTGGGAGACATAAAGCAGAAAAACACATTGAAGTGCTAATTTGTACTGACTTTTCCTTCAGATGCATCATGGTACAAAGTCTAAAGCAGCAAGAAGAGGTAAAAGTCAGATTTTGAAACCTGAAAAATAAAAATCTCTTTTCAACGTACTTTTTTATTTGTATTACTGAAGGCAAGCACCGTTCCATGGACAACACATCTAGTATTCTTAAGCATATAAAAATAACTAGCAGAATGTTGGGCTGCCAGTTTTAACAGAAATGCTGTAGACAAATTACATTTGTAAGTTGTGGGCAACCGCTACCCATGTACCCAGAAACTGAAACATTCATATTCTAAAAGGTGTTGGTAATGTGCATCAGGGGTCTGCTGTAACAGGACAAGGGGAAATTGTTTCATACTTAAAGAGAGGATATAAAGGATAAAAAGAGGATATAAGAAAAAGGTTTTTACGATAAGGGTAGTGAAGCAGTGGAACAGCCTGCCCAGAGATGTGGTGAATGCCCCAGCCCTGGAGACATTCAAGATCAGGCTGGATGGGCTCTGAGCACCCTGATCCAGCTATAGGTGCCCCTGGAACTAGATGACATTTAAAGGTGTCTTCCAGTTCGAAGGATTATTCATCCAATGATTTTATGACAGATAGTTTTCAGAACTGATTCTTTCTAACCAGACAAATTTTCCAGTGAATTACAACAGCAATTTCCTACAAAATGCTTTAGGGAATGGCCTCAAATCTGTAACTTTACAAACAGATCAACAAAAGGAAAAACCTTTTGTCTTCTCTCAATTTAACAGAAATCTGAACACTTAAAAATGGTAAATGATTTTGCTTATTGAGCTATATGCCTTCTAGAATAAATTCTATTCAGTGTACTTTGTACAAGACAGCCAAGCTTAACAAGAAATCACATGAATATTCAAAACTGAAAGGGAGATATGAAAAAGTAATTATTTGCAAGAATATGACTACAAGCAGTAGCAAGTCCTATTTTATAACATCTCAAAAATAAACTTAAATATCAAATAACCAATTTCACATAAGGTGTTAATTTCACCTAAAATTAAACTCCTGAAAATTAGATTTATGACAAGTTAGTGTTCCAGCTCCCTCTGTCGCAAATGGAGAGAGACAAGCACATCGAGAGTTTGATTCATCTCGCCCTAAAATAGCTGCTCAAGAAAGATGGGATGAAATTCATTATGGAAATGACAATTTTTTTTTCTGTAGTCATCTAACTGCTTGACTTGAATTAGATGTCTAGTTTTTGGATGGCTACATCGAAGCAAAATGAAATCCAGTCATATAGAGATTACTGTCTGACAACAACATATCAACTAGATAACTTTAAGTATTTGGATTTCCTGGAACCTAACATACATGAGAAAGTGTCCAGAAACAAAACAGGACAACTGATGTAAACTGAACTGTCAACTGATCCTATGATGTTGAAAATATTTAATTCCCCATTTTTCTTCTCTACATTCCCACTAAAATTCCTTCTAGGAACAAACTAAAGCCTTTAGCAACTCATTTTCAAGTTTCATCTCTCAGTTTACTAACTGAGCATCTCGACCTCTATAAAATTATACCAATTGCTTGCTTGCAAGCGAGGGCATATGGCAAACTCTCTGGATAACACTGCATTTACCTCTTTTGTTATAAAATCAATGACTTCTGCTCATGTAGCTGAATAAGTAGAGAACCTAGATTTTGATCGGTAGTCCAGGAAAAAGAAACTTTCTTAAGAACAGACATATTTTTCAAACACAAACATACATCTGTCTAAAATCACGTGGTATTAATAATATTTATCCTCTTTATGATGCTTCTGTGAAGAATGGCTGTCCACAAACAGGGTGTTTGAGGACTGTAGGTGTGGAAAATTTGAGCTGCCTCCATGAAAAATATAATTAAAGGCAACTTAACCTAAGATGATTAAAGCCACCAAAGTTATTCATGTCCTGCAGTTCAGATGTCAGAGTAATATTGCTCACCTCAATGCATCTTATTTGACATTACTTAAAAGAGAAATGAATGAGAAAAAACTCTTGCGAACAAAGACTAGTAGCATTGGACTAGAAGATGTTTACAAGCTCATAAATGAGTTTGATGAAAAGTCCAATATTATTATAATAAAGTATTAATGATAGTTATCTGTTCTAAAGTGATTATAAACCCAGAATCTTAAGTCATTTAGTCAAAAGAAGCAAATCTATACATATTAAAAGAATTGTGATACAAGTCCCATAGAAGAAATTATTTCCAAGAAATCCATTGCTTGTTTATAATATATTGTCTTGGTAGAATAGTACTTGTTCTTTCAGCAGTTTAAAATCTATCACTGAGTTTATAAGACCACTACATACTCTGCGCTTTTATATTTTTTCAAGTACTAAAGTAACTCTTTAGAAGCCATATCAGCAGCACTCACTTGTCAGAAAACAAGTATAAACTAACCTGCATGTTTTCACATGAACTTTCATCAAGAAAACCTATGCATTGACTTTATAAGATACTTCTAAGCATTTCTGAGCAAAATCCTTCCTGTCTTAGGATCCGTAGACAGAAGAAAAAAAAAAAATCTGTATGAACTAGTTCACATCACTTCCAAAGTGGTTTTCTTCCAGTCCAAGAATGTAGAATTCTCTCATGTATAGTATTATGTTTTAGGTAGGGACTTCTATCATTTCTATTGAAACATTTTTCCAGATGTCAGTACAGAGGTTTTCAAGCTTTCTTACTACATTTTACATCATGTAAAATTTTCTCCCGTGTATAAGTTTGTTTAAGACTGGATGTGGTGTTGTCTACATTTCAAATGTGAATTTTCTGTTGTTATTTAGTCAAACTTAGTTACTTTATAAAAATTGTATAAACTTCAGACATTTTAGGTTTCTTTTCATAACTCAATCACTGTCAATTACTTTTATTGTTCTTCCCTGAATTTCATCTAGTTATCTTTTTTGGAATGGCATGTTGCACCTCAAATTGCACAGAGCTTTTTGCTGACATATCTTATTATAAACCAATGCCTAAACTAAAGCTGCTCTACCACAATTACTTTTCACTGCTATGTTTCATTATCAGAGTAAATACTTCTATTTACTGCCTTTCAGAAGATCCTCTTATAAAAATGAAGTATTTATACACTGAAAGAATTATTCAACTTCTGTCACACTTTTAATCAAACCGAATGTCCTCTCCAGGAGCCAGCTGCTCAATAAAGTTTAGGTAATATAACACAGTATACAGACTGAATATGTACTCCACAAAAAGAAATTAAGGTCCAGAAATCCTCTTTCACAGCCACAACAATAATGGAAAATACAAAAATACAGTATTACCTCTAATTAAAGGAAATACAATTTTCCTCAAAACACCAGGAGGAGAAAACTTTCTGTATAGTTTTGAGTACCTGCTCTCTGACATTTTAGAATAACGATGTTTCAGAAAGATCATGTTAAAACCACAACTAGTGGGAAATGTTGTTACCTGCTTCTTAATGACACCTAAGATATTTGCTCTTCTTTACAGTTTTTCAACAGCTTCTCAAGATCATTCAAATTCTTAAGGAATTGCATGCCAACCAAACTCAAAATTTACAATGTTTCCCAGATTTTTTTCTAAAAAATTTCTGTATGCTTATATAATTATAAAAGCAGTTACCATAAACATGACTCAACAAATTTTTACTTGCATCTCTTCACCTCTTCACAGAATCATAGAATGGCCCGGGTTGGAAGACGCCTCAAGGATCACGAATCTCCAACTGCCCTGCCACATGTAGGGCCACCAACCTCCCCATTTAATAGTAGACCAGGCTGCCCAGGGCCCCATCCAACCTGGCCTTGAACACCTCCAAGGACGGGGCATCCACAACCTCTCTGGGCAGCTGTTCCAGCACCTCACCACTCTCTCTGTAAAGAACTTCCCCCTGACATCCAACCTAAATCTTCCCCCCCTCAACTTAAAACCATTTCCCCTTGTCCTGCCATGATCTACCCTTTCAGAGTTGATAAAGGTAGATAACCTCTTGCTTTTGATACACCTTCATTATAATCCACTTTGTGAAACAAATAAGTGGTGAGTGGTGGGTATACATGAAAGTAAACATTGTTCCATTGTGTTCTCTCTCTTTTTTTTTTTTTTTTTTCTTTTTACAATGCACAATTTGCCACCTCTTTTGGGTAGGTGTTCAAGACAGCTGGATAATAAAGACTCTGTCAACATCAACTTGGAACAGATTGTTTCCGATGATTTATGAGCTGGAAAATCACTTCAGAATTCATTACCAATTCCCTAAAGCAGTCATCTACTCAATTTTTTATGTATAAAGTGTAAACAAATCCATCTGATACATTTTGTATTCTAAATGGACACATTGTTGGGTTTTTCAATTCAAGGACACAATGAATTAAAAGGAATTTAATTAATGTGATGTTAGAATAAGAATAGTATGAAGTAGAATTTGAATATATCACAGTTGGAAAAAATAATTTGTAAGCTCCTCTTTAAATATGAAACCGTGTCTGCTGTTATTTGTGATGATTTAGTTTTTAATAAAATAGATTAACAAATGGATTCAGTACTTTCTTTTACAGGTCATGTTTGGTACACAGAGAGATATATTTTTATCTAAGCCTGCATAATGACGTATAGCCAAGTCCAAAAAATAATTATCAGCCACTATTTATTTTGACATTTATTATTTGGTTTCTGTACTTCTCCAAGAAGGGTAAGTTGCAATTCAAACTCCCCACAACCATTTTCCTGTCAATTCAGAAGAAACCAATTTCTGCCACTCTAAAATGACAATGCTGTCTTGTCACATAGCTCTCTCTCTCCATCCTTACCTTTTTATCTGCAAGAACTAATATTGCTGCTCTTGCAAGGTAAGCAATCCCAATATTTTGATTACTTTCAAGCCATTCACCTCAGTTTAAATCATCCAAAAGAAAAGAAAAGGAAAAAAAAAAAAAGTTCAAGCACTGAATAACTCTATACTCTGACTTCTGTCCTTCAGCCTCATCACTTCTGTTAAAAACAGTCAGTTATTTGTGAACAGGTTCATATCTAAAAAAAAAACCAAAAAACAAAAAACAAAAAACAAACAAACAAAAAAAAAAAACAAAAAAACCCACCTCTGTCATGCACAGAACCAACCAAATACATCAAAAGTGGCAATCCATGCATTCAGTTCTCGGCAAAACCTTTCCAACATTTTTAAATGGCCGTGGTACTGGAAAGACTTTAGTGCTTTACCCACCACTTCAAATTTCTCGCCAGTATACATTTTAAATACAAAGACATACACAGCCTTTCCTTGTTCTGTCTTCTGATGGTGTGCAGGCAGGGATCACTGCCTCCATGATATTTGTGTGTGTGTATATTCAAATCTGTAAGATATTTGCAGAGCTACTCTCAAAGAGTAATTTCCCACAAAACATGAAAAGACCCAAAGACAGTTACATTTTGCACAGAAGTGAACAGGAGAAAAAAGGACAAGAAAATTATCTTATGACCAAGAGGACCACTGGGGCAGGGTTTGTAACCTGAAACTTCTAAAGATTGCTGTAGCTTGCAAACAATTTGCAAATAACTTGTCCAAAAAAAGCACATTAGGTTCCCATCAACAGCTGCCCAGGGAGAAGTGAACAAAAACCAATTTTATTAAGAAGCTCCAAAAAGATGATAAGGAGATAATCACACCAAAATCTTATAACTCTTAACTACCCAAGCCATCGCTCATGATTTGTGCTATACTACAAGAGAATTCAGAGGGAACAAATTAATGCATCACTGCAATTGCCTTACCCAGTTTCAGGTTATGCATTAGTCTTTAAGGTATAGACTTAAACATTTAACACATTACAAAGACTCATTTCTGGAGCCATTTAAGAGTTAGTGACTTCTAGGAAATCTCAAGTTAAAAGTCTCAAAAGTGGCAACGTTCATTATTCTCAGATGGCAAACGTCTGAGTTCTTGACCTTTCCTCCTAATTGAGAAGAACCACTAGTAGTCCCTTTAATAGCTCAGAACTTTTAATAACCTATTACGAGGACATGAGCCAAGAATTTGGGTAGGTGTACAACCATCACATGTGGTCATCAGAAAAGAAGATTTACGATCAATGTTAGAAAAGGCTTGTTAACTTCTGTCAGTGCCACAGACACAGGGCTGGTGTCAGAAATGATTCAGAATGAAGCCACTTCCAGTTTTACTTAGGATATTATGTTGCATCAGGTTTTTCTCCTAATTGGCAGATACTTTGTGAACAGGAGACATTTCGTTTTTCTTCCAACTTAACTCATTACTGCCAATGCACAAGAACGGGCAAGAGAAAAAATGTTGTATGTTCCACAATGTTCTATGCAGTAGTACTTACCAAGAGTACAGAATGGTTCCCACTACTGATGCAAGTTTGCTGTTTTCTTCATTTTGCTTTGCAAGACCAAAATCAGCTACAAAAAAAAAAAAAGAAAAAATAAAATTAAAAAAGGAAACAAAAGAAAATTTTCACACATCAAGGGGAGATTATTAGTTGATTTTTTTTTCTTCCATTCATCTTTTACATTTCACAGTATTGCACTGGACTGTTTACCTGTTTCCACACAACACCTACACTAACTCAGGCCAAAATGCCACTATTTCTGATTTTAAGCAACACCTGAAATATCTCAGGTTCATGTGAACTACATTCATTGCAACTTATTTTGCCATCCTAATACAATATGACACTTTGTAAGCTACGGAGATCGGTAGGTACATCAATCTAGCTGCTAAGTTTCATAAAATAATTTTGTTTCAGTAATAGTTTTTAGTGCTCTGTTTAGTAGGCAATGTGAAATAATTTGATTTCTTTACCACTAATTTCTCTTATGCCTGGAAGTTTGGCATTTTTCATTGAAAATGGAGACTATTTTTAAGTATTTGCAAAGACAATAGAAAACTTACAAACTTTTACTGTTAGATAAATCTTAAATTATGATTAAACATACAATTTCACCAGAAATTAAACACACATAGAGTCATTTCTGTATTATTATATTTGAGTAGGTTTTCATTCTGATTGTAAAACTTAAGTCTAGTGGTGATTTTTTTTCCCTGTATTTGCATGTATATCAGGAATCAAGAAAACCAAGTGTGATTTTATTTCTTTTTTTTAAGTCACAGGAAATAGACAACCATGCTAGAGAGTCTTCAAGTGGGAAGAAAAATAAACACAAAATTATGCAATGACAATCTGATTCTGAAACACTCTTCTGTAGTTGTTTTCACACATTTACGTTGTCTTTAGGGTAGCAGAATAATTGACACTGAAGTCTTTTAAATAAGATTGTTCTGGAAAATATTAACTTGCATGGGAAAAAGTCAAAGAATAAATATTTCTAGAAACTTAGAAAGACAAATGAATTTCTTTTCTATTTGTACACTGATCTATCCTTACATTACTAGAAATAATAATAAGTTATCCAAGCTCCATATCCTAAAAATACAGTATTTGTTTTTCATCTTCTCTTACTTCTTTCTTCAACAGCCTGAGATGTTAGGCTGCTCATTTTAATAACACAAAATATATACTGAAGTACTTACTTACTGAAGATCAGAAGTGATCTTCATAATTATGGATATTTGCCCTTAAAATTTTTACTTATCAAGCACTGTGTTTGCTAGCAGAAATAACATCATTCTTTACAACAGTACTAATCACATGGGTACATCTTGTGCTTAACAGGAATTATTGGCAAAAGTGAAACCAATAAGTAGCCTTAACTGGCTTTATGTTTAAGTTACCATGTTACAGAGATCTGTAACATAAAGACAGAACTTTATTTTCCATAAAAGCATGTCCTACAGTCAAGGTAAATTTAATCAACAGTAGTACATACTTACTCTACTCTTCCCCATCAATACACTGGGAAAAGAAATCATTTCTCAGCATTCCCAAAAACACCTTCCTGGCTATTCAACTTTCAGTGTGGTAATGTCAATGCTTCATAATCTCAATGCTTCATAATTTTGTAACTTCTGCAGTAAGAACACTAGCATTGCTCCCCACATAGTAATGGGACTTGTGGAGAGCGATGTGTTTGCACTGCTAATGCAAGCAATAAGTGCCATTTAGAACATTTGATTTATAGTGTGAATGTAAACAAGCTGATAATTTCACTGAACTTATGAAGGAAGCTTTGAGAACTAAGTACTAGAAGCACTTCCTTGAATCATGGCATGAAGAGTAGTAATTCTGTTAATGAAGACAGGTTAAATGAGTCATGTAATTACAGAAATATTTAGTGTTGTTTTAAGCACTTCCACAGAGTAGAGACAAACACAAAAGACTCTATTTGCATCACTTTACTTCTTGGATACTGCCTTTATGGCACAGAATTGGGAAGCGATAGGTCTTTTAAAAATTGCACTCAACAACCAAGCATTCTGAAGTAGTTAACAGGAAGCTTTCTTCCCACAACTGGCATTAGTGGAACTCCTGAAGTTTCAGTTGTTCTGACACAACCTGGCTGCATTCTAGAACTAGTACATCAGACAGATGATTTATGTCAAACCTGGTATTCCACTACTATATTAATAATAATAGTTTCAAACAGCTTCATAAAGATCCTTTCTACAAAGCAAAAAGAGCATGCCACTCCAAAGAGCATACAAAACCCTTCACAAATCTGGTAGATAACAGATCTGAAAGGAGTGAAAGTGATTCCATATACACCCCTTGGACCACCAAGATCCAAACCTAACTGAAAGTAAATGCTACTGAAGAAAAGAGTGGTCTTTTGTTTTGTCCTACAGACACAGCTCTAGGGAGCTCTAAACAGAAATATGCTGTGCTAGGAACAAAATATTGCTGCAGTAATATAGCTGCAATAAAAACAGATACACGTTTTAAATTCAGAAATCTCTAGCTTCTAAATTAACAGAGAAAGCACAGCAAACTGAACTGACAGCCACAGTAAATAAGGGTTCAAAACATGTACAATACAACTTTTGTTTGGGTTGCATCTGAAATTTTTCTGGATATGTTGTTGCATCTTTTTAAATGAAAAACTATAAATCACATATTCAACCTGATCAGAGGAATACAATTTCAGCATTACTTTTCTACCAATTTAGAATGAAATGTTTTATGAAATTACAAGTTAGTATGAGGCCTGTTCCAAGTAATTCCTCATATTAAACTGAGTTGGCCCACAACGTTAGAGGCAGATGTTGGTGGTATGGCAGTAGAGGTTGAACTTTCTATCAGTATTTCATTACATGCTGTTGTCATGTGACAGACAGCAGTAGAGGGACAGTCTGACAGAATGTAACATGACGCAGAAGTACAAATGAAGCAAAGGTGAGTCACTGAATATCTCCATGCAGAAAAAAATTGCACTGACAGTCATTGATGACTGCTGAAGGTGAATATGACCAAACGGTGGACGTGAGCACAGCAATGTGGTGAGTGGTGCACTTCAGCAATGATGCCATCATAGCAACTGTGAAACAGCAGGTCATCTCCACTGGTGCAGACTTTCATGAGCACAGCACACAGGCTCTTGTTCATCGCTGGTAAAAATGCATGGCTAATGGTGGTGACTGTTGAAAAACAGTATTCTGTGGCTGAGAATTTTCTCTATCAAATAGTGTTATTGTGCTCTTCATATCTGTTGTAGTTTCTGTGGTAATAAATAGGAGGCACTACTTTCAGAGTGACATATCTATATGTTAACATTTCTATTTTTGTGGTATTTGTAGGTCAGTTAATTATATTCAAATGCTGCACCAACATACAGAAGAAAACCTGTCTTTTCTTGGTGAGAAACCTGTTGCAGTGACACTCAAAGACTATCTCTAGAAAAGTCTCCTCAGAGCTTAATCTTACATAGTGCAACAGCAGCCATTGTGTTCTCTGTGTAAGATCTAGCATTCAGATTCCTCTCACTGTAGATCCCTGCCTACCAAGTAATTCTGGAATTTTGCACAAGAACCTCCCCTATGCAACAGTTTCTCTGTGATTTTTAAGACACACAAGCATAAATCTTCAGCAGTTTTTTTCTTTGCATGTGCTAATAGCAAGGTAGAAACATCTCCAACACTATGCACTCCTTTCCTTTGCAACCAAAATAAACTCAGAATCCGTATAAGACACCTTCATAGAATTTGGAACATGAGTGTCTCAGATCCCACATATGTTAAAAAAAATAACACATATCTGTGTGTCCCACTACTTTTTTAAAACCTTTTGTGTTGGGGTTGTTGCATAGCCATGCACAGTATGGAATGAAAATCTCTGTGGATAGAAGCACTTTGCTTTAGTTTAATACTTTATTTTTCTTATACTTTCAATGTCTTTAATCAAAGTCTAGCATGGGTGTCCAAAGCTAAGGCTAAACTACCATACTGTTAAAAACAAAACAACGTATCTGAAGAATTTTAGTTAGAAAGGAATAAGGCCTTTGTCAGCCATGTGATACTCAAAGCAAAAGATTAATAAGTGATGTTATTTCCAGAAAGACTTACTGAGGAGGATGAAAAAACAGCAGCATTGTGAGATACACAAGCTTACTTTATGAAGCAAAATAATTTGGACCGTCATGAACTGTATCGTAATTACAAAGTCAGGTATCACTCTAGAAAGATCAATGCAAATTTGGGACAGATTTAGGATCTGAAATACTCCAGAAAAACAAACTCATTTTTTAGGATGACTGTGCAGCTACTACAGTTCTGAGCAGATCTGTGGAGAAAATCCTCTTATTTTATAAAAACTGATAGGTTGAATTCACTGCAGAGGCAAACTTAACATTTTGCAATATTTGAGCACATTCTTCCATCTTTGTTTGACAATTGTATCACTTTCATCTGGAGGCACTTGAAATCATCAGTAATCACAGATAATGTACACAAACACAATACATAAATGCCCCAGTCTTTGGACTTCATGTGTTACATGTAATACAGCAACATATTGTATATATTTGCTATTAGTGGAAAGGAAATTTCTAATTTTCATTATGGCAGTAAAGCAAGAAGTACCAGTAAGTAACAGAAAGTACCAGAAGAAACAGATAAAAGGATTTCAGCTCCCACTGAAAATTCAATAAAAACTGTTACTAATTAAAGTATGAATAAAATGGTTATTTAAATATTGCATAATAGTTTTGAACCAATCACTGTAGAAAGTAAGTTTCAGTGTTTCCCCTTTTTACAATATCTGTAAATCTTTTCTAGCTGTATAGTTTTTCAAAGTTAATTTTGGGCTTAAATTCAAAAATATATTTATGCTTTTATATATTTCGTTCAGGCTAGACCATGGCAAAGGTGTTAAACTAATACAAGAGTGCCCCTCGGTGGCAGTGTCTTGGTATAAGATACAACGACATAGTATTTTACTTTAATATAATATTTTGATTATTTATATTTATCATTCAGGGAGAAATGTTGCATTAAATTACCTTATTTCAAAGCTATAAGATTCAGAGCTTTGAAGCAATACAAATTTATCACGAATGAATTTAAATATGTAACTCATCAGGTATAAATACTACAAAATAACAGCTGCTAAATAGATTTGCTTATTATAGATCATTAATCATAGTTTTGTGGTTGTGCATGCATAGATCTACTGTTCTCCATTATTTTAAAGGAGATAAATTAATTTTTGCATCAAGAATTCTCATAGTAACTCTGCAAAATTCCAATTGTTTACTTGGTTCTGTGTCATAAGCATTAAAAAATCATGCAGGAATTCTTTGAGAACATTAAAATCTACAGTATCTCAATCATCTGTCATTCTGGATGTAAATTCCTAGTTGTATTAATTCATTCAAAGAGTAAAATTTTGACATACAGCAGAGCACTGCTCACACACCTACAGCTTTCAAATCCTACACATCTCTGAGTCACTTTCTCCACAGCACAGAGATTATAGAAATACACAAGAATATTCATTACTATAGCTTCAGAAATAGAATGTCATTGCAGCTGATCACAGAACAATTGATGGATACTAACAGTCGTATGGTGAGAGTGGAATAGAACAGATGGTCATTTTACTCTGCATGCTCATTAGCACTGGCTATATAATCTAGTTATCTTGACATATATAACTATTAGGTTGGGGTTTTTTTTAGGACTAAATCATCTCCTTGGTCATATTTGATATCACAGCTGCAAAAAAACATGGCTGATAACATCTAGAGGCAATGATCACATGATCACAAAAGCTGTGTATAATAATAGAAATAATAGAAATAGAAATAATAGAAAATATTTCACAAAACAGTATTATAACACTATAATTTACTAGCTTCCAACTATGGTTGCCAGTGCCTCAGAATCTGAAACCTTCTGTAAGTTTCAGTAAAGAAATTCTACTCACTTTCATCAAGGGAAATTCTCTTGAAGTAAAGGAGTTCTACTTACTAATTTTAACCTTGTCTTTATCCCCCAGCATGATGTTGTTTGGAGTGAGATCTCGATGAACAATCCTCTTCTCTTTATGTAAATAACGAAGAGCTAGGCAAAGCTTACAAAGAAACAGAAAGAGACTTACAAAGATTCGTAATGACAATCTAAGTGAAATCACATCAAATTACATTAATATCAGGTATTAGTGTTTGATATAAGTATTTTTTATTATTATTATTAGCCTAACAAACATAAATGGAATTTGTAACCACGGATAGACATGTCCTGGTGAAAAAAAAATGTGTGCCTCTTACTTACTTGGATAAATATATTCCATATTCTTTCTTCTGTAAATTTTTGTTGCTTTTCCTTCAAAGAGTGAAAGTGCTCTCCCAATGGCACCCCATCTATGAGTTCCATGACTATGTACAGTCTGTCATCTACACAAAAGAAACTTCAATTAAAAAATACATTTATACAGAAGGCATTTGATAATGGAGTATTTGAGGCTAAAACATTTTTTTAAAGCTGTCTTTTTTGATTTTTAAGTTTTTTGTATTCTATTCCATGTTTTTCCAACTTTTCATAAAATCACAGAATGATTAAGGTTGGAAAATGCCTCTGAAATCATAATCTGACCGTCAACCCATCCCCACCAACCATATGCAACATCTACACATTTCTCAAAAACCTTCAGGGATGGTAGCTCTGTCACCTCCCTGGCAGCCTGTTCCAATGCCTCACCATCCCTTCAGAGAAGTCATTTTTCTAGCTCCAGCACTAGTAGAGCTCTGAGTGCAGTCCCTCTCTCCTGCACTGCACTGCAAGAACTGAAGCATTTATATCACAGTAAATAGAAGGAACTTCATGCTTGTTAATCACTCAGTAATAATCACTCAGTGGGCAAGTGTAGGTAGACAACTCCTTAGAAAGAAAAAGGAGACAATATGGCTAAGCCATGCTACTATTCATTCCACTAGTCACCAAACCTTTTCACCCTACTTAATATTCCAACTGTAAATTTGGGATCTTTAGCTCTAGGATAGATGCTTTCTACATGTTTACTCATTCGTTTGACTAATAGATAAACATAATTATTATGTCTCATCCTTTTTTAATTTTAAAGAACTATAAGCCTGTCCAAAGTGTAGAATCACAGAATCACAGAGCTGTAGGGACTGGAAGGGACCTTACTGCTCAAATTTGATACACTCCTTCCAAAAGGTAAATACTCCTATTGTATATTTCTACTTCATCATGTACAATATAGTAATTATTTACATTTATACTTACTTTCCAAGAAGGTTCTGTAATAACGTACAACATTTGGGTGATAAAGCTACAATGAGGAAAGAAATTCAGTTGTTTAGAATAGTTAAGACTGATGGAATGGCATTTATAATGCTTAACTACATAATGGAAGAAAGAATCCCACAAGGATTCCAAAAACTTGCTTACGAACTGCAGTGCAGTAGACATTCACAGCAATCCCCAAACATGTTTTTGTAAAAAATAATAATTATAATAATAACTTTTATTATATATATATATATAATTTTATATATTATATTATACATGTACTATATTATACATATATATATAATAAATATAATACTCTATATATATAATAAAGTTTATATATGTATGTATGTATGTATGTATGTATGTATAATTACTCAAGAGTCATACCAACACTCTTGTTAGCAACTGGAACAGAGTAAAGGAAGTGTAAAGGCAATTACACCTGCACCAAAGTATTTTCTTTCATAGTTAAAAAACAAATGATTTGTCTATATTGTTGTGAGTTTCTTTTAATATTTATTTACAATTACAGAAAACTGCTATCTTTTAAATCCAAAAAATTGTTTACAGTATTCCTGATAAAATTTCATGCACTTCCAACAACAGAAGAATTATTTGTATCAAACATCTTGCACTTCTGCTAATGGCGCAGAAAGAATTTTTGGAATATTGACAACATTTAGGTTAAAAGTAGCAACATTGTACTAAACAGATGAAAACAGTAACAGTAGGTGGAGGCCCTTCTGCAAGAGAAGGATAATGTTAACAGATTGCCAGTACGTGAATCTAGAGTCCATGAAACCCACCTGCTCTTTGATGATGGTTAACTCAGATACAATGTTCTGCACTCTGCTATCTCTGTCTTTTTTGTCCTTTCCTAATGCTGGATTGTGTAAATTGACTTCTTTCATTGCCAGAAGATTTTGCCCATTATGTTTTCTAACCTACAAAAAAGATAACACCTTTGTAAAGTTGATACAGGATGGGAACAGACAGGATATTATTATAGCTATCATATCAGTTATCTGAGTGCAAAACCATCTCACAAATATTGCAATCATAGTCTTTTCTGTATATAATGCAATTAGTCAAAAGAACTGGAGCACTCAAAAGAGCTTTACAATGCAGGTTAGGAGTAAGCTGGTGAACTCGTCATCATGTCTAAAGAAATGCTACCAGTACCAAATGTTTTTTTCTGAAATAAAACATGCTTGAACTCAGTTTCAGACACAGCAGAAGACAGACGCACTCTGTGTAGTGAGAAATCAATACAAAGTAAAACTAGTAAATCTAGGAAATGTACCGATCAATCCTATAAATACAAGAGGGACAAACATGATCACAGCAAACACTAAGGAAAATGGACATCTGTTAACAACAAGCTCAGAGGGATAACAGCCTTCTGGAAACTACGCTCTCCTACTGAAATTCAAAGGAAATTTATGCTTAAAACAGGTATCAGACCCTCATCATGAAGGCTCCTCTCCAACCTCTACACTGGAACCAAAAGAGAAGCTTACCTTATATACATTTCCAAAAGCTCCACTGCCAAGGTGTTCTAAAATTGCATAATTGCCTATATGTTTTGCAGGTGCTTTATTCTGGTTGACGCTCTCAATACTTTCAGCAATTTGCTTCACTTCATCTTCCTGATTATACATTAAATGACAAACACGTAAGCATAAAATATTTCAAGTCTTTCTTGTGCTAAGAATATGCAAAGAATATAGTTTCTTAAAGCTACAAAGCTCTTTACTTACCTTTAATAAATTCAGCTTTGACACCAGCTCTTCATAAGCACTAATATCACGCACATAATGTCCAATATCAATGAAGATTTCAAATAAGTCAGGAGGAAAAAGTCTACAAAAATTTAACATTTTTATGTGTCTCAGAAAATGTTCACAATAGCTATTAATCTACAGCAAGTGTTTATTATTACTTCCTACTTCGAAATCTTCTAAATAACACACTTATTCTTGAATGATGTATTCAGATATTAACTATTTTAACACAACACACACATATATGAACTGAAGAATCTTTCAAAAGCTAGACTTCAGCCTCCATGGATTGGATATTGCTATAAATGCCAGTTCTCTGAACACTATAAGCCTCAATGAACTTTCCAAACTTCCATTTGCTTTTGTATTTTTTTCTTGTAGTATTTTACACTATGCTCATAGTTGACTTATCTGAGCTCCTTCTACCTTTGATAGGTTTAAAATTTTTCTGCATTTAAAGAATCACAATATGCATCTTAGAATTTTTGTCCCAGGAAATCTAGTCTAAAATATGAAAAGAAAGGTGTGTAAGCTAGAAGATACAACACTGTATTTTGGTTACTGATATGCTTAACTAGAGATCAGTTTCCTTTTAATATTCTGACAGAAGTGAAAATATGGAAAAGTAAGTCATTTAGGGTTGGGGAAAAAAAAAAAAAAAAAAAACCATCATAAACAAGCAGACAGATTTATCACTTTAAAAACTTGACACCAACCATCAATACTGATTGCAAACTGAGGTCCTTTTTCAGTACAAAATCATTTTTTTAAAAAAGTAAAAATGAGATACATGTTTTATTTAGAATTCGAGGAATATATAACATAGAATAAAATCATTCAAAAACACTGCTGCCAGGTAATTGTCATAAGCAGTATAAGTACTTCCCTAATCCCAAAAGATTTTACACAGCCTTTGTAATCTACCTGGTGAAACTGTCAACTAATTTGAAAAAATGGCTAATTGATGAAATTATTTTCCACTTATTGATCCAAGTCTTTTTTTAACACTCTTAAGTAAACTGACTTCATGTAAAATCCTTCCCATGTGAAAGACTGGAGGGTTGAGCAGCAAAAAAAATATAATTTTGTCAGTTGTTACTATCCAGGGCTGTTGATTATATCTGATAATCTTCAGATGGAAGTATGGTTTATCTCTAACAGTTTTAAATGTCCTTTACATATTTTAAACCTTGCTTCACAGGAGAAGAAAGAGGCCCTACAGAGCTAGGTTCTCTGGCATGCATAACAATGGAAGTCCCCACAATGAATGTGTACATCTTGTAGGCTGGCACTAATACAAAGCAGGAAAATCTATCTGTGTCTGCAGACTGGACAGAAGTTGCCTGCAACTTATTATTTTTGCTGAAAATAACTGGCATTTAAAAACATTCTGATTGCAATGATACCTTCTGAAAGCTATTGTAAAGGAGTTTCACAAAACATTTTATTAGTTTACCTTCTGAAGATATGTCTATTTCTTTCCATACTGAAGAGAAATCTCAGGGCTCTGAAAGCATAGCACTACCGTAGAAAAAGCTAAAATTAATGACAAATCTATACATAAATAAAAAAGACAATGATAAACATCAGGGATTCCCAACAGTTCAATAACCTCTTTCCTTAAATTTCTAGGTAGATTACATTGTTAGCATGATAATGAAAAGAGTAAAAACAGTTTCTTAAGTACATTCTATTCTTTAAAAGTAGGCAAGATTATTTAGGGGGAACAAAAGAAAAAAAAAATGGAGAAAAGTTTCTAAATTATCTCTACTGAAGAAAGTTTGTTTGTAAAACATCCACTGACAGGTAGTTAATACATACACTTTTATATAATGCATCTTGAATTCTCCGCATCAAGAATCATTTACTTTACTTGCTATACAATATGGCTGACTAAAGAAAGATGACTGTGAAGTAAATCAAATGGAAATAAGGTATTGGCATCTGAAACAGTGGAAGTAAGGAAATGCCCTCTAACTGAGAATTAATCTCTTTCAAAAACAAGAATCATTCTACACTTACTTGCTGTTTATTTATTCTACATTTAAATTCGCTCTATTTCATGTGAAGTTTTCCTGTATTTAACAGCTGCAGTGGGGTGCTCCAGAAAGAAGCAGATATTAGTACAACATCAAGACTTCACTGAACACCAATGAAGACCAAAGCACACAAGAAAAGGATCTAATGCTGAGAAGCATGAAGAAGTAGGGGAGAGATTATCAAAGGAAAAATATTCATTTCCCTTCACACTGTATAAAGTGCAAGAAACAAAGTAGATCAGAATAAAGTACCATAAACTGAATTACAATTGAGTTTTTACTCCTTGGACTACTTGTTATTACTGATTTTGTTCTATTTTCTCTTCAAGCAAGATGTCTACTGCATTCTAGAATAAACTTTTAAACAACAACAAAACACCAAAAAAACTTCAGGGACTGTTTTGGAATTTCAACATGTAGTTATACTAAAAGAAGTTACCTGTAATAGATAAGCTTTTTCAGCATTCTTTTCTTTGTCTGGTAAAACCAGTTTTGCTATTATATATACTCCATTTGCCTGGAAACAGAAAAAGAATCAATAGAATTCCTTCCCACAGAGACCATGAATAAAAAACATTGTTTCTTCAGATAAATCAGAACCTGATACCGACTTGCAAAATCTCAGCCTCCTAGTCCATACTGGATTTACAACCTGAAATAACTTAAATGAAGTTTACTTCATTTCTTACTTATGTAAGAATGAGACTGCCCTAACACTTTAACAGACACTACAAAACAGCTTACAAACATACAATGAAGCAGTATCATAAGCTGGAGAGACACCAGACAAGATAGCTTGAGTGAGTCTTCAGTAGGATTCACAAGAGTCGCAATGTTTTCAAAGTGTAGCAACTTTAAATAAGAGAGATTTTTATTTTGATGAAACCAGACTAGCCTAAAACACGTGAAGCTTTAAAGTTAATGGAATTTTATGGTTTAATAACAATTTTAATGCTTTAAATATATAGATAATTTTTTCTAGATTTACTTCCATTTCATTCTGCCTGAACAATATTTTGGACATATACCTAAAATATTCAAGACTCCCTGTTCTCTCATTTCCTTTAGGAATATCTCTATCTGGATTTTAAGCTAATATGTAGGTGATGGATTATAGCTGGAATTACTGTTCTAAATATTTTTGTCTTTGGCAACGCATGCAATACATACCAGAGATTTAAAGAACAATTTTCAGAAGCCTGAACTGATTAAAATGTTACATTTCAAAATGCTGTTCAGAAGCACCCCCCTGGGAATGGAGAGCCAGGAAGTCTGGTGTTTTCAGAAACACCAGACTCTGAGGAAAATGGAAATTTTTCTGTGAAAGAACATAACACTCAGCTGCACAGCTGGGAACTAAGAGTTCATATTTCTCAGATAATTCCCTGATGACACTCACTGGTCTGCAGCAAAATTGCAGCAAAATCATGTCAGGAGATGTCAACCAAAATAATCCATAACAAAAGTTATCTATTATTATTCTAAACATCTTGATACATATGTTGATATCTTTGTGTATATTTGTGTGTTAATAAATGTATGAAAAAATATACTATTATAGAAAAATGTACATGAAATTTATATAGAGCAATATTGTCCAATCACATTAAAATATATTCTGCTTGTTAATTAAATTAAATCCTAAACTATAATGTCCTACTTAACTGAATAAAGTCTTCCTACCTGTACTACTTGGGAAGCGTTAGTATCATTGAGCACCAGTTCAGTAATTGCAGCACAACAAGCTAGAACAAAAATTCAGATGTAATATTTAGGGCCAGATTCATAAAGATATTCAGATGGCATAGCAGGTAAGAGCCAAGTGCTCATCCTACCACTCATTCACTCCTCCTTCTCAACAGAAGAGAGAGAGAAAGTAGGACAGAAAAGCTCATGGGTGAAGATACTGGGAAATTGCTTACCGGTTATTATCACAGCATCACAAGCAAAATAGAATCAATTTTTTGGAGAAAATTAATTTAATGACTCACCAGTTAGATTTAGATAGGGAGAAACAGAGATTATAAAAAAAAAAAAAAAAAAACACTTTCACTCTATTTCCTCCTTTTTTTCCCAGAATCATCTTCATGCCCAGCTCTTCTAACACTGCATCCCTCAAGAAGCAGAGGGTGGATGATACATGAGGGTTTCAGTCAGCAAACAGTTCCTCACTTCTCTTCTTCAAATACCACTCTGAAATTGTTCCATTATAATCAATTCATTACCGACATACTACAGTAATTTTCAACAGAGGGAGCAATATGATGAAATAAAATGAATCTCAGGCTTAAAACAAATAAATTAAGAAATAAGAGATGTTTACGAACATATATGTAAGCATATATGACTTCTGTGTGCTTGATATTAACCCCTTTGCTCCTTTCTTAAAAAAAAAAAACAAAAGCGGTGTTTAAAAATATGTGCTGATATTGCACACTCAGAAAAAAACAGAGCTGATGTGGTGCTGCTGTGTCAGGTGGGAGTACAAATACTAGCAGCTATAAATGTTTATAATTTCAATTTTGGAACAGTTTGAAACCCTGTGCACAAGGTGTAAGTGAACACAGAAGAGAGAACTATGCCTTGTAAACCAACCTGCTTGAAGGGAGAAAGTATTTTCTTGTATCTCATCAAGACTCAAATCGTCTGACAAATGAAGATGTTGAATTCTCCCTGCTGCATTTGCACTAGATAAACTTCCAACTGAAGAGCGATCAGAAACGAGATTTCTATCCCTGAAAAAAATAATTAAAAAAAATTAAAATTAAAAACATGAAAAACACTGTAAGAGACCAATGAAATTTGCATAGCTTAAAAAAAAATCCAGATTTTCCATTATATTTAAAATTGCTTTTTTATTTCTATAGACATCAGACACATCTGAGCAAGACTATTAGATGCAATGCTATTAGATGAAATGAGAGTGGTCAAATGTATCTTAAAAGATGGCACATTCTCATGTAATTGGCAAAATGCTCAGGAAAGGAAACCTACCCCTGTAATACATGAAGTAGCTGCTTGATTCCACCCCAAATCCGGATTTCCATGCTAGTCTCAGGGTCTTCACAAACCTGCACAAGAATCCAGACTACACTCCACAAAAGCTTGATATGATCAGAATGGAGTAAACTGAGCAAAACTGGAACTCCTTCATAAATTTTAACTTGTTCTTTGACTTGTGACTCTGCACAGAGAAGACGCAACAACTCTGCTGTAAGCCTAAAAAATTCAGTAAGAGATTCATTGTTAATTTGTATAGTCAGCAAAGAGGACAAAATTCAGCAAATGTTTAAAAAACAAAATAGACCACATTTGAAAAACAGAAGAAGAAGAGTTTAAAGAAAACTTCTTGTCAATGGCATTACAAGTAAAACAAGTAGTACTGCATGTGTAAATTATGTGTACAAGTGTAAACTTCATCAGTGGAAAGTGAATAACCCGAATCTGGATTCTTCACCTGTATGGTTTGAATAAAATGTTCACAAAATCCTACTGCATTTCTATTCATTTCAATGTAATTAAGATGGATTTTCTAGAGCAACTATGGTTAGGGATTTCCATCTCCACTTGAGACCAAAAAGTTGCATTCATGTTTGATGAGACATGAAAATCCCTACCTGAACTTAAAATTATTTGTAATGAGCAATGAAATTCATCAATATCCTGCCAACATTCAAATTCCAATTTTTCTTAAAACCCTTTGGTTTACATATAATCTATGTAATTTCAAGTGCAGAAATGAAGTAAAAAGATTTTGGCATTTTCATTATTTCTAATCATATGCAAAATAATTTACATAGGTGAAGTAATTAAACACAATTTTTTAAAAAAATTCTGATTTTAAATGTGGATAACATATGTGAAATGTCAGCTTTGAAAGTCGTTCTATTTCTTACTACAGATATGTCACGCTAAGCTAACAAGCTCAGTTGAGCTTAAAGCGTGTTTAAGGATCATAACAATCTTTTTATTAGAGTGATGTGGGTTCTCACACAGCCTCTGACATAAACTACAGCAGCTCCATGTATTCGAGTTCACGTTTACGAGTATACGTATACGAGTTCAATACTTTCCATCTAACCATTCAGGTTTCAGCAGTTAAGAGAAGATATATTAAAAAAAAAAAACAAACATTTTTCTATCACCTTATAGTAACATTACAATTTATTTGCACTGTAGAACATCATCAGAAAGTGAGTCTATAACAGAATTAATAGAAAATACATCGCTATATCAACTATTTTAACATGTACTGTAGCTGACAGAAAATACATAGGTTTCAGAACTTCACCCTGAGAATATTAAAATGGCACATTATCTAATTCCTGTAAACAAATATATCTCTAAATAAGAAAAAGTCAAAAATACTTCAACATGATTAATCCACAAGTGAACTCTCACCTTTTAGAAAGCAAATCGTATTCGCGCAATATCACCAGCAAATTCTCAACAATAGTGAGCTCACTTATCTTCTCCCTACATTCTGGACTGGAAATTGATTATTCCTGGCATTTATATCAAATTAACGTATACCAAAAACATACTGCTCTTTATTCTCATTCCTTATACACTTTTTTGACCAGTATCTCTTCCTCCAATCTTATCTAATACTATCACAAATACTTAGAGGCACAGATATGTTATGTCAAGTCTGTCACTGCAATGGTTTCCAACTCTCTTAGAAAAAAAAACCATAAAAGTGAACATCTGAATGCATAAAAGTAAAGGTGCAAATGTATTTAATTTGTTTCATGCTAGAAATCAAGCAAATGGGGTACATCAAGACTGAAATATTATTTCAACTATTAAAATGTATATATAGTTTAAAAATCCATAAATTGAAATAGAAATAGATAAATTGAATAGAAATAAATTGAATAGAAATAGAATGAAATACACTGGGGGGGGGGGGAACAGAAAAGTTAGTCGTTAACTTTTTACTGATCTCAAGGAATTGTATTACTCTTTTCAGTTTTACAATTTCCCTCTTTTTTTTTTTTTCATTTAGATCACAAAATTGTTATATAAGTCTGAAATACATTAAGAATTAAGTTAGTACAAATGAAAGATGCTGTATCTTCTCCTTTTCTTTCTGCTATTCCTGCTCACAACAGGAGAAAAAGAGAAAAAACACACATTTTTATTTAAAACGGTCACTAGAAAAGAGAAGATACATGTACATAGATGTATGTATTCCTTATGCACAGGTTCTGAGCACCATGATGTAGCTGAAGATGTCCCTCTTCATTGCAGGGGGAGTGGACTACGTGAACTTTATGGGTCCCATCCAACTCAAACAATTATATGATAATTTACTACACTGAAGAGTATTAGTTTTGTTTATTGCGGAGTTCTGTTCTACTGAGTTTAATATACAATATTTTTATACAGGTGTAAATCAGTAAGAATTACAGAATCTTGCACAGGGACAACAGAGGGATTCCTATGACTCCAGTCTTGCAAACTTCTCCGCACAAGTGAGAAGTGTAAATTAATGCAAGGACTGAGGTTTCTACTTAGAAGCTAGTAAAGTCTTTTTAATTTCTCTTTCTTACTAATTTAACGTAATATGAAACATACTTCCTAGACTTCTACAGAACAAGATTTCTCTTTTTTTTTTTTTAAAGAAGTCTTCCACACAAGCAGCAATTTTAATATTACATCAAGACAAAACAATAAAATGCTTATTGTGAACAGCATGTGAAGTTGAGCCTACCTTTCTGCTAAGCTAATCAGGGCAAGGAGAGCACCCAGAAGCACATTGCTGTCTCTGGCAGATAACAAATTTACTAAGGTCTAAAAAATGAAATATGGAACAAGATAAATGAATATAAATTTCACATTTTTCTTTTATGACTCAAACAAAATAATAATGATGTACTGAAAAGTCATAAATTTTGAAAATTAAGATACAAGTGTCTTAAAGAATACAATGAAAGTTTCAGGGACTTTTAAAATATGCTCCGGGTACATATAAATACAAAGAGACTTAGGCCAAACAAAGATGTTTCATATTTAAGGATGTATCTCTCATGACTGTTCAAGTGTCTGTCCAATTTAATGTAACTTTGTAATAACTGTTCCTGTGCAAAACACTTCAAAACTCTAGATTAAGACCTTCCGATGTAAAAAGCTATTTTTAAGCCTGTGTTTAATTTATGCAGTACATAATTTAAGACCTCATACACATTTTGTTAATTATGTATATCAAATTAAAAAAATCATATTTGTCTAGATCTTCTAAAAATATTACCTATTCATAATCTCCAACTGCAACATAATAGAATCACAAATCACTAGTTACACTGATTTTTATTCCTAACATCACTGAGTTTGGCTAGAAATCAGCAATAAAATACATTAAGTGTTGACCCTTACGTTAGCTGTAATCTCTAGCAAGGTTGGCCAATACCTTGCCAACACACAGTATTGTCTAAGCAAATAATCGTAGAAGAAATTTAAAAACAAGTTATGTCATAATAGTATGTAGCTCAGGACAGTGTAAACTCAATTACTGGAATTGGTTTATTTGAAACATTTAGGATTCAACTACCTCGAACAACTAATAACCATGCATTAGATCAATTATGTCATATACAAGAAAAATATATATATTATGCTAACTCATACCAAGAAAACAGAATTTAGATTATCTTGCTATACCAATTTAGCATTATTAGGAGTTCAGTGTTAACTAAGTCTGAAGTGGATAAGTCATTTAGTTAAGTAGCTAATTGGTTTTGATAAATAATTTTATAAAGCACTTACTTTATGTGCTCCACTTGCTATAACCCATTCTCTTTGATTTTTAACAGCAGCAATCTTTTGAAGAATGTCTATGGAACAAAGGGAGTCTGGAGTTTTACCACTTAGTATTTTTCATTTTATTAATTTCATAACAAAAGAAGAGTAAGCTATTTGAACCATGACTAGCTCATTTTACTCTGTTATTTTATTTCTTACAGCAATTAATTTCTTAAGACATATTACACATGCATCAAAACAAGACATGCTGTTACACAAAAATTTCAGTTCTCTTCATACATTCATGATGATGCCTACGATGAATCTAGTAACATATTACTAATATATTAATTACAGGCATTTCAAGCATTTCAAGTATTTTCAACATTTTTTCACCTCATAGAAAAATACCATTAGAGCACTTTATTATGCTTTTATTAACTATTATCTTAATAAAGCTTTATTAACTATTTATGTTAGCAAAATCACTTACATGTCATGTTGACCAACTTGTCTACATTATGTTTCTCTTCTCCACAATCTAGATAGCCATTTGCTACTGTTTCCATATGCTACAAGAAAGGAAACAAATTAATCAATTAATTAATTCATAGATCCAGGGCGTTAGGCGTGATAACAGCCGGTAGATGGCGCATCTGTTTCATAAAAACGTACGTTCGCAATGTGACTCACATTTAGCTGTAAAACTTGCCACAGTACAGAAGAGGTATTAGAAGTATAGAATAGCATCGAATATAGAAGTATACAAGTATAGAATATAGAAGAATTCTAAATCAAATGAAAAATTTCCACCAGTGGAAAATCCGTTAAATAGCAACAAATACAAAAACATTACTCCTAGGGCCAAAATTCCTTTTTTACAAGCTGTGAGCTTGAAAAGAGTTTTCTGTAGAACTGAATTATCACTTGATGTTCCCATTCTCATGCTTTTCATAAGCATTTTTTTGGCTGCTGTTTGGAAAAGCTAGTCCACAGGTTCAGACTCTACACAACATATACAATGGTGACCAGCAGGAGCTGTGGGGCTGGTTGAACAAATCCAACAGGTGGGAAACGATGGTCTGCCTTTTTATATTTCTCTAATAGCTACTGAGTGAAACAATCATCCGAGAAATGAAAGTTATCACAAGGGTGTAATTTCTGTTAGCACACAAAATCATGATGAGATTCCCAGCATCACTTACAAGTTGGTCTTTACATACTGGTTTTTTTTTTTAGTATTTACAATCCTTCAATATTGGACAAATCCTTAATGAGGTGGCATTTTGCAGTCTCCAAAAAACTGTATTGGTAACCTAAATTGGTTTCAAGCATTCAGTACAGAGAGGCTAGAATTACAGTAGCAGTATACTATGTAAAATATCATCAGTAACAATAATTTAATCAGTGCTTTCTACCAATATACCTCAAAGCACTTGAAAGTGAAAACAGTTACGTGAAACCATATCACCAAAAATCATCAAACTACCTGAATGAAAACTATATTAGAAACAATCTTTAACTCCCATAACATTAAGAACATTTCAGACAGGTGACTGTCTGAACTAGGAGCTGTAGCACACCACTACTTATTTGAAATAAACACGTGGCACAGTAAGTAAGAATGAAAGATAGTTGCATTCCAGAAAGATACATTTGTTTAAACAAAATGTACAAATTCTGATTTTTCATGAATGCAAACTCTCAACAATCAGTCCCAGTTTCAAGCATATTTCACTGATACATGGGCAGCTCCTACTCACTGAAGAACAAGTATTAAAATTCAGAACTAAAGCAATGTTAACATAAGGCAGTAATAACGCAGCAGTTGATTAGCGATAATATTCACAAATTTCAATCTGTTCAACCATTTTATTGCTATGCTTTTACCTTTGAGAAGTCATTTGCTTAATTTCAGGGGGCTTATAAACCTCTTCCTACAAAAGTCTACGGTTTCTTTTGAATGAATCAATTGTGCTGACTTCTGTAATTCTTAGTTCAAGAGGCCTTTGTTAAGCCTTCTGCTGAAAAGTCTTGGGTTAAATACTGCTAAGTTATAAGGACAGATCCTTTATGAACTAGTGAAAAAGCACACCAACTGGTTATATACAGACAGAGGAATACAACTTACTTCTTTCCAAAAAACAAGAGCATATGTACACTACTTTTTTGCAGTTGTATTTCATTCCACTCATAATAAAGCAGCATACAGCTTTGTAGACAACATTTCCATGAGGAATTTTACCTGAGCTAGATTTTCAATCCCACCCAGGCTGTAGAGGATTTCCTTAAAGGAAACAAACAAAAAAAAAAAGAACAAAAAAGGATCAAAATACAGAAAACACTGCAGTAAGAGACACTTGAACATAAGTACCCTGATTGTCATGAGTGCTGAGAAATGGTAATTCTAGCAACAAAAGACAATGGATTTTGGATATGCTTAGCAATTTCAGAGTTTAGAATTACTTACAATAAGTAAATAAATAAATTATAGAAATGAAATTTGAAAGGCTCTAGCATCAGAACAGTAAGTATAATCTTTGGTACACGTTAAAAAGAAATACATGAAAACAAATATCCTAACAGATGTCAGGGGTTTAGTCATATGAATAAGGGCTATAATCGTCAGAAACACATTTTAAAGCTGTCTGTAACCCAGAGAACTGGGCTGCTAGAAAAAATAGGCAGCTTTCAGTTTTCTTCACTTGCTACATTATGAAAGTCTTACATATCTATACAGAGAGGTAAAGTAAATATGCAGTCTAGGGCTCTGAGCAATAGTCTATCTGTTATGGAAATTTGAAGCTTATTTATTAGGGTTAGCAACATGAGAAGCTACAAAATATATATCAGAAATTGAGCAAGTTATCCAATAGCAGCAAGAGTTCAGATGTGCAACCTGTTTGCAACACACTTGGATCTTCAGACATAGAAATACAGGTATATACACACATATATGCAATAAGTATGCATTCACAAGAATGTACACATTTATATGTACATTTAACAACAGAACCGTAAGTATGATGCGTAAATGAATCCTTTTATGCAAGAAAAAAATACTTTGACATACAGACCTGATAGTGTGGATCTCTTACTAATAATCTCAGGCAGATTAATACTCTAAGAAAATGGATGGATGGAGCTTGATTAACCCATTCCCTGTAAAACAAATGTCCTAAGCATAAAGCAAATACAATAAACAAGTACAAACACATCAGTGTTATACAAAAGATTTTGATACAGGAAGCAAATGACTATAAGATTATTGACCTGTAACAACTTAAGAATATACAGCACCATAGAATTCTATCCCATTCTGAGCAATCCTCCAACATAGTGACAAAGTGATACATTTAAATATTCTCGATACAGGATTATACTTCCTAATAGAATTTCCTCTTTTTTTGTTTCGGTATACAGTTCAAGACCAAGACTTGGAAGAAAGCACAAAGCATCTAGGGACAGCAGTCCTGTATAAATACCAGTAACAGAATAACTATTTCCATTGTCTGTTGAAGGTATATATCACCATTTTCCCATCTAAAATAAACCTAAATTCAGATATCTTCAGGGATTTTTTTGTTGTTTTTAACTGAGAGGACAGAATCTGTATCTGGGCAAGATTCCAAGGAACAGAAGTCTACGTGATATGGCAGTTCTTAATTTATCACTTGCAGTTGGGAAAGATGCCAATGCCTAAAAATATTTTGATAAAAATAAAATGTTTTGCAAACAGATACTAGCAAAATCTCACTCCTTCTATGCCAACATTCTGCCTAAAATAATAGTATGCTTCCATACACAGCCATTTAAGAAAAGTGCATAATTTTCATGGGCAGCAACAATATACTGGTAGGCAAAAGTTAGTATGTCAGATTGGAAAACTATTTTCAGCTCACTTTAACTGGTGGTTCTTCAAAGTTATTCTTTCAAAACATTTTGACTCTTGACAGTGAATATCTTAAATGGCAAATAATTTGTCATATTTCTGTGCAGAAACAGTAATTCTCTGAGCCTGGTTGACATTTGCAGGCCTCTTCTACTATAGCTACATTAACATTCCCTGTTACTAGAGAACTCAGTGTAATACTCAGCATATGCCAGCAGGATTTTTTTCTGCTTGCTTTGTTAAACTTCATATCCAAACAACTTAAGCTAAGCTTTCACAGCTTTCTTGCCAACAGAACCATCTCTATCTTCTGCCAACACAGTGATGCTGGTAAGTAAGCGTGCTGGATTTTTTTTGGCATCCCAATCAACATAGTTACACCTGCAAAAGTGTGTAATGCAGACCATTCTACAATTCTGACCCACTGCAGTGGCAGTAGTTCCAAACACCAGAAACCATCGCATCCACAATAAAATACTTACAAAGGGCAACTAAATCACCTTTGTAATCATACTTAAATTATCAAAGATAAGATGGTTAATTCTGCCAAGGGGTCCAAGCAAACTATGCAAATTTTGTGGTATTTTTCAAGTACATCTGTAAAATCTATTTGTTACATATCAGCAGATTTAAATGCTTTAGGATTCCTCCTTCAAATTTTTGCACTGAGAATTCTTCATAAAAAGTATCTGATATTCAAAAAGGGAAAATACAGCATATAGCAGTGGTAAATATTAATACAAATCCTGAAATTCTGAGGTACTTTTTAGCAAACGTTCTTTACCCCTCCGTTTTTGAAGATCATGCAAAATTTTCCTGCTCATCCAAATGAGAGCAGCCTAAGAAAGAGCTTTTTCTATAAAATGCAAATGAAAAAAAATCAAAATAAAATGAAATTATTTAGAAAAACAAACTATAGATTACAAACTATCAAGCAGTTCTTAGAACTTTGGTCGTTCAAATTTCAACAAAATACTCCATCCTTCCTTCTTCACTTCCAGCCACTCAAGCATTTTGACTTCAAAGCTAATACCAAAATCATCATTTTAAAATTATAACTCAGATTATGTAAAAACATGAAGCTACAAGTTTCCACACAGACATCTGTTTATGAAACATATATACCAGGCCTTATCCATGCATGTTCATTCATTGAATAAGGCAAGAAAGAGTGATCTCTCCTCATTGGAAATGAATGTGTTTAATATACTGACCTGCAGTTAAACCTGTTCTTAACTAAAGCAGTAAAAATGTCTTGAAACAGCTTGTGTTTGGGATGTTTGCTAAAATTTCTCTCATTCTTGTAGGTCACACTAATGGCAGAAAAGAAAAAGAAAAAAAAAAAAGGAAAATGCTGAGCTGGTAGTTATGTTTTAACAAGTCAAAACTTAACGCCAATAAGAAAAATGAAGAAGTGTCATACAAGCACTTGCAATAGAATAACATAATTTCAGGTTTTCAGACAGTAATAATTTTGAAGAACAGTCTGACTTGCATAATGTGAATCTATCATAACGGTATAATAAAAGCTTTCCAAACAAGCCATTACTTTATTTAAATTGAATATATTAACTTTCAACAGTTCCCTCTATTGAATAGAAGCACATGTCAAACTTACAAAGCAAAAATATTCACATTACGGTTTAGAAAAAATAGAATTGCATCATTAACATCTCAGCAGGTTGACACACACACAGAATCACACACAGAATCACACAGAAATCACCCGGGTGATGACATGAAACTACAAGTAAGAGACACAAAATATAAATGATTTCCACAACTCAACAAGACTAAGACACAAAAAGATGTTCAGAAATATGACACAGTGTCATCATACTGGCTCTTTCTTTTACCTAAAGTTCTCAAGCTCAACAGCTTCAGTTGACTCTTGCCATTGACGATGGAGTTTTTGTCCATCACTTCTGACATTTTGCAGAGATCTTGTTGTGCTGATTTGACCATTTTCAAAATGTGTAGCTGAAAGCTAAGGAGGAAAGAGGCACTGATGAGGCAAAACAGTTTTATTACAAAAATGATAACAAGCAAAATCACCTTTTCTCAGTTTTTCATTTGAACTATAGATGCTGTTAAATCTTTGATCTATAACTGCCATTGTAAAATACAAACACATACATCCTATGATACTGAAATGGTAGAAAACCAATGCAAAGCAAGGTTGGAAAACAAACACATGGAGATATATGAAATGCAAAGAAAGCAGCCTTTTTAAATTTGTAACAAGAGAATCTCCAACACACACATTATCTATGTGTACAGCTTCCATATTTCTTTTAGGTTGTAGAAATTGAAGTTTCAGCTTTAGGCTCAGAAGCAATCCATGCCTCTACCCAGGAAAGGAAATGAATAACTCCTGTATTCCATGGACAGTTCCCTTACTTTGGGATATTCTTGTTACAGAATAGAAAGAAATAAATTGCTTTGATATTCCCAGGACTCACACCCATCTTCACATGTTGGTTTTCATTGCTTCAAATGGTAAGCACAAGCTCCATCAAATGATTTGAGGTGAAGATTTTACAATATCCTAAAAGTTTCAAGCACTTATAATATTTATGCCCAGAAGAGTTTCAGCTGAATTATTATTCTCTGAAGGCGAACTGCTTATGATTAAAATGCTGATTTTTAATTTTCTGTACCTTATTACTCTTACTTTATTACATGTTAGTTTATTACATATTGTAACTAATAAATCTCTAATCCCACCTTCTATAGAAATGTTGGAAGGGCTTTGAAGAAAATAAATTCACAAGGCTACTTGACTATGTCTGTTAATACCTGAATACAACCTGTTCAAGATTATAATAAATAAATTTTTTTCCTGTTTAAATAAAGATTATGGCAGAGTAGGATAGGAATTGGCTCAGCTTCATTCTTCCAACTTTTCTGAGTAGGATTTATCTCACAGAGATGCTATATTATTGCCAAGGGGGAAGGAAAAAAAAGGACACCACATACACTACACAAGATTTTATTAACACAATTAATCATAATGGAACACAACAATATCACAAGCATGTGCTACAAACCTTAGTCAACTGTATTTGTGATTATACAGTTATACAGCATGTTTAATAATAGCTATTACTATATAAATATTATTTATATAATTATATAATTATTTTATATAATTTATTATTATATAAATATATATATATTATACCTGTTGTTTGCTTGATGAAGCATTTAAGAGAGACTGAAGTCTTTTAAGGTCAGAGTAGTCTCTACAATAAAACACAACAGCATAGTATATATATTAATAGTTACATAAAAGTACTTCTTAAGAGTAAAGAAAATCAATAAACAGTGCTACTGACAGAAAATAAAATTGTCTACTGTCCTCATTTTGCATGGAAAAGAATTTAGAACCTCTCCAGAATGCCTTAAGTCAACAGAGGTGTAAATAAACTTTGTGACCAGAGTAACAGTTGTCATGTTTATACTGCATTTCAAATTAAAGCATTCTGCTTTGGCAGCCAGTACAAATTCCACACGGGTTCTGCTGAAGTTCAAACAAAGTAAGACATCAGATACTATACCTCATAGAAATCCCATGAGGTTTTTCGTCTGTTGCTTTTTCTGTGCTCTTCAGCTTTTTGTCCTGATCAGGCATTGTGCATCAGTCTCATCATCACACGACTAAAGCACTCATTTCCTTAAAAATAAAAAAGATAGAGCTATATCATTGGACTGTTAAGCACCAAATGTCTACTTACACAACTAAATGAAAAGGAAAAGAAAAAAAAACAACCAGAAACAAAACAAGACAAAAAAAACCAGCTCTAGCCTTCTGTAAACGTGAAACCTTAGGCATTAAATGAGGATACCTTTTAGGATTCCAGATATGAACGAGAAATTTATAAATGTAAAATACAGAAGACTTACTTTCCCAACAAGTTTTTGGTGAAGGTAAATAATACTAGCTGTCTTACTACTGTGCTTCCCTTTTATTCATATTTTTCCTCTTCTTGCTTATTTTTATAATTATTTCTCACAATGGCTTGTTTATGTTAAAGTAGTGCTTAGAGACTGGCATTAAGTTTGTGTCATACAAGGTATTGTTCAGACAATATAGGAGACAACAACTTAACTATGTAATTACAAAAGATGGATTGAGGAAAGAAAAAGGAGGTATCTGACAATCATACGTGATGTAATACCTCGTGCTGATGTATTACATGTCTAGAAAACAATCAGATAAATTTTCTGTAGAGGTTGGAATCTGACTCTTCTGAATTTCAGTTGAATGCTTTATACCCATAGCACTCAGCTTCTCTTGCAAAGTAGGACATAAAGCTTATTTCAATAGGTGAACACAGCTGTAGTGGCTTGGCCTCAGGAGAATCAATACCATACATTAGATCCACTGCAGTCAAACATTCAGTCTGTTTGTCACATTAGTAGCTCTGACTTCCCACTAACACCCATGTTCTGTTGCCTTCACATATTTGTTCAGTAAGTCATAGAAAGAGAAAATAATCAAGTGGAATCTCCTTCTGCTGTGAGGGTAATTATGTTGGTGCAGCATATTGGTTTAGTATTCATTTAGTCCAAGAGGAAAAAAAAGGAGATGGTCAGAAGCAGGCTGGAGCTGAAGAATTACTCAGAGAACTATATACAGCCAAATCATATCGGTAGAGCACCCATGATTTAAAAAATAAAAATATAGCACCACTGTCAGACTCTTCCTGTCCATTCTACTACTCACTAAATATGGATAGATTGGGTGTTCCTTCTGGTGTATCTTTTACCAGGGCTTTCCCTCTGAAATCTGACAACTTTTTGTTGTTTTTTTTTTCTTCTCTCTTTTTGCAGTGTAGAGTTCCGCTATTGATTTTTATTCCTCCTCCTCATAAAGGCAAAGAAACAAAGACAACCAGAGTGGAAACAAAAGGAATACAAACAAACCAGAAGATGCTGCTTCCTACTGAAAAATCAGAGTTGTTTTCTCAATTATACATTCCCACGTTAGACACAAAATTAACCAAAATGCAACTGCTGACAGCATGAACCCAAGCATTGCATTAATTCACTCTGGGAAGTGTCCTATAAGACCAGTTCATCTGTTTCTGTTCTACGAAAAAAGCCTTTATCCTACCACTGGTAATCCCATATAGAACAATGGATCTTGATCCCCAAGAAATTCCACTATTCTCTTCCATGCATCCCCACAAAACCAATATTAAAAACACTTCAGAACATTCCCATGGTACCAGCTATCACTAGGGAATGAAAAGAAATATAATCAGTTCTACCAGTAAGTAGACAAAACCCTTCATCTTAGATTAAATGAAGGCAGCTCAATTAATTCATGTCATTTCCTTCAAAAGCAGCGAAAGTTACGAGAAGTCAGGTACATTGTTAGGCATATATAAGAAACCTCTTGAGTACAGATTTCCACAAATTGATTTAGTAATATTTTTGTTTCTTATCCTCTCCCCAGTATCCTAATCCATTTGGCACATTGCTGAGGCATGGCATGATGCAACCATCACCTCATAGTTACACACCAGTTCAGTGACTCTCCCAAATTATCAACTTGCTCAAGAATACATACATACAAAGAACAGATTTCAATCACTTACCAAATAATCAAACACAAACCAACCATGAGTAAATACAGATAAATCCTAGAAAATTCAACATGTAAAACAGTAGGATTCCAGTACAGTCAAGGTTACATTCAAAACTCTGAGGTCTTCATGATTATCTACAAAATACCTCACAATTGTGAAACCTTACATCCACAGATCACACTCAACCTTGCTTTAGAGCTGCCAGGCCACTGATCTGCACCACAAAGTGGTGCCTTAGTCAAGAAGAAACAGAATAGCACCTGAGTAATATTTTAGAGGCTCACTGCTGTTATAGGTGCAGATGCTCAACGTGAAGCCAAATTTCATTCACTGCTGTCTGAGAAAGAAGGAATGCAGCACACCCAGGGACACAGCCCTCACCCAACGCAGAGGGTTCATCCTGAAGCTGTCTCTGTTTCCTAGAGGACACTGAGCGTGCACAAGTCAGTAACTACTAGAATGAAAAGTGGGCAGCCCCACAGCTGCTGAACGACCCTGCACAATCTCCATCTGCCAGCATGGCATCACAAGGCTGCACCGTCTGCTCGACTGGGAAAGCTGAATCAGGTTACAACTAATCTTCCGTGTTAACCCTGATCACCTTATAGCTTGTCCCCAAGTACCGTTGGTGTACAAGGGCAGGGATAATACGCAGAACAAAGAATTTATCATTGTGGTTTAAAGCGTTTGAGCCCTTCAATTTGCCTCCGGGGTTAAACCGATGGAACAGCCGTCTGCTGGTGAAAATGGCAGCTACTGACCCCTCACAAAATCTGCCACTCCCTTTCACTTATTCAGTTTATCTGGTCCAAATCCAAGAGTTTAGAGAACAAAACAGGCAAAGAGCCACGTGCTTCTCTTCGTACAGGCAGTTTGCTACAAATTTAGGTCACCATTACAGCAGCCCAATGAGCTGCTTGCAGAGAAGGGGTTGGGGGGGGGGGGGGGGAAAGGACAGGAGTGTGCAGCTATGAGAAGAGAAGCACAGAAAACCCTTTCATCAGGAGCCAGTCATTAAACCATGTGGGTGCACAAGCACCACACCCCGAGTGATGGGTACCACAGGAAACAACCCCTTGTTTTCCATGTACCAGCCATAACCCTGAGAGAAAACAGACGTGGAAAATGTCCTTATTGATTCACAGTTACCTGCCCTTCTTGAAACCATCAAGTACATTCCCACCCCTGTGTTTTGTCTTTACTTGTGCCAGAAGAAATTTCCATGGAGCCAGACTATTAACTATCTTACTAGCTAGTAAGCTGGCTTCATGAGTAATGCATACAAAACAAAACAACACCTGCATCTCAGTCAGGTAGAGAAAGATTGAGACTGGACAACTTTAAAAAATAGAAATGTATTAAGGAAAATATCCTCACAGCACAGATAGAGCCTTATTCAACTTCACTTAAAACAATAAAATGAGAAAAATATTAACTAATTTATTATAACTAGTGATAATTACATTTAATTAGCTATCATAACGCAATCACATAGAAAAATGGATTCATTCTAACAGTGTCGGTGTGCAGGATAGGACAAGGAACGTTCCAAGAACCCTGCCAGAAAAAATCCACATGATGAGAAACAGGAGACAAAGGAATCACCACAAAGATTTGATCTGTGGCCCAGGCTGTCTCAGACAACACAAGGTCATAAAGCTTCAGAAGGTGAAAAGAAACCCCCAAATAAACAAAACCACAAAGACATATTGGAGAATAAATTATTTCCATAAACTACAGCGTAATGTTTAAAAACACTCTTGAACAAAAAGATATCTTACGTTCTTCATAATATTATTAGCAGTAACTACTGGATGCAGATGACAGATACAAACAGCTTTGTAATCTAACTAGCTGCTTGATTGATCACAAACTCCTTCCTTAATCACTCTAGTGGCTGAGTTCCACTACGTAACTATATACAGAAGTTTAACTGGCTTGAGCTGGATAAAGGAGTAGAAGACTTTTCATGTCGTTGTTAGATAGGAATTTATCTAATGCCATAAGCTGGGTGTGAGGTCAGATGAAAAATCACTCCTTAAAAGAGCAACTATCAGCACACTAGAAATACATTTCAAATGTGGTCAAATGTTGGCTAAGGATGCACCAAAGAAGACTAAAAAGCTCCCAAGATGTACTTTTACTTCTCCAGCAAAGGGCTGGACTGCATCCCTCTCATTCTTGGACAGCACGGCAGTCAGAAGAGACACCATGGGGCAGTACAAGCCTAGAAATTCCCAACCCATGAAAATGTACAGACAACATTTGAAGAGTTCTTCTCACAAGATGCATCACCTGAATCAATGTGGAAATCTGCATGTTTATATGAAAACATCCATATGCATGTATTTTCTTCTTGAATTTCATTCAGTCACTTCTTAGAAGATTCTTTGAAGATAAACTAGGATTCCAAATGAAGCTCCCATTTTCCCAACAAATGGAAACACAGTCCCCTGCTTTTCCCTCTGCACCAAACCAGTTCTAGGGAAGCCATAAAAGGCCAGGCCTGTTTCACGTTCTTGGGCACACACAGTGTGAGACTCTGGGCTTTTTTCCAGATCGTATCTTGTATCTGCATTTTCTGCCTAAGCCCACAATGCCAATCTGCAGCTCATAGATGAAGGAAAAGTAGATTTCTGGGGGGGTAGATAGCAGCCTTGCACCAAGGCAAGAACCATATGTAGCTGTATGAAATCCACCCTTCTCTACAGATTGAAAGAAAGAGATCTGATAAGTAGACTGTTTGATGGACAAGGAACTGGCTGCAAGATCATACCCAATGGTCAATGGCTCAGTGTCTGGATGGAGATTAGTGACAAGTGGTGTCTCTCAGGGGTCAGTACTGGGACCACTGCCCTTTAATATCTTGATCAGTAACAACAACAGTAGGATGAAATGCATCCTCTGTAAGTTTGCAGATGACAACAAGCTGTGCGATGTGACACACCTGAGGGATGGGAAAGAGATCACCCAGAGAGACCTGGACAGGCTTGAGAAACCTAGTGCAAGATCTAGCACCCGGGTCGAGGCAACCTTT